ACATCCGTCAAAGAGTCAAACGCCACTCCGTCCGGAATGGGTCAAACAAATACGATGTTGCCAATCCGAGAGAAAAAGTATTATTCACAAGAAACGTGCGTACGTCATTCGGTGGCTTTCGTATGTAATCGATAATAGATTTGGGATCAGGAGAATTTACTTTCAGTTTTTGATACTGATCACTCTCATGGGTATTACATCAGAGGACTAAGCAGGGTGTCTTCAAGTCCGGAAATAGTACTGATTTTCTAAGGGCGATCCGGAAGTACTGAAAAAAGTGCGGAAATTCCGCAAAAAGGTCCTTTTTGCCGCAATTTCGCATTTTTGAAATTTTTCTAATTTCGTCAAATGGAGGTACTGAAAATTTTTTTTTTTGTATTGGAGGAGGCACTGAATTTCTCGAGAATGTACTGAAAAAGCACTGCATAAGTACTTATTTTTGACCAGCCTGTTTTGTAGACACCCTGTTAAGTCATAATTTTCGTTAAGCTTTTAAATCGTCTCTCAGGCTCTAGCATGGGAACCAGATAACTGTGAGAATAGCGTTTCTCTCAAGTTTTTGTTTCCCCCCTCAAACTTTGAAAAGCTCCAGGATACGTCGTTTCCCGAACGAAGGAACATAACTATGTTCGAATATTGATTGTACAGAGACGAATATCGAATAATTTTAAAATAAGAATTCTATACAATTACATATTGTAAAATGCTTGGATAACCGAAGTTTTCAGTCATAAAATCCGAGATTTGGTTTAAATTCTTCGAATTCGAAAGTAAAAATATGAAAATAAAAAAATACAAACAAACTTTGTTATCTGAACCGAAGTTCGATTTTCATGACCAAAAAGCTGGGTTACCTGGACCAAAAACTTAGGTAATCCATGCTGGTAAAAATTGGCAGTAGAATTTGTGTTCCAAAATACCATAGACCTACAGCCGGTTGTAAGATTTTCAATAGCTTCTATAGCCGGCAACACAATTTCAAATGGCCTTTTATAGCCGTGGCGACTAAGCAACAGTCTGGCGATAAAATGTATACTAAACGTTACTAATTACGGATGCTAGGACTTGGTGAGTTTTTGGACTACCGCTCTCTTTTTGGGCCGTAGTATCTTGATTTATTTTGCGAGGAAAGCTCCGTACTTTTGAAGGATGCCTGCCATTCCTAACATGTTGGAGCGCCTGCAATTTCGTATGATACTGTGCAATACCTCTGTTGTGAAATAGTTGCTTCAAGCGCCGTGGTACGCTGCGGCGCCGCGCGGCGGGCGGGCAGCCAAGCGCGGAACGCGCATTGGCGCCTTCAAACCTAACAGGGATACTTCATGCATTGCGCAATGCGTGAAGTATCCCTGTTAGGTTTGTAGGCGCCAGTGTGCCGCCGCTCCGCTTTGTGTTAGGCTCTAATATTTAATCTCGTGGAGTCAGCGTTTTTCAACTCATGACTTCGAAATGTTTGCACACTCTGTATGGATTATTCTCATTTTAATTGATGAAAAAAAAATATGTAGTAAGTAAAGGAAAATATGATGTGCGTTTTGTAAATATATTAAGGTGATTCCGTACAAACTTAAGGATTTACAAAGCACACAAATTTCTACACAATTTCTCATAGCCTTTTATAGCCGATGGTGAAAAAGCAACAGCCAGGCGATAAAGTGTAAAGCCCGGCGATAGGAACTATAGCCTGGCTGTATAATTTTTTATCGCTTCGTGTAGCCCGGCCGTATGCTTTTTTCCACTTTCTACAGCCAGCTATATGATTTTCTATCGCCTTCTTCAGTCGGCTGTAAGAGCTCCTATGGTATTTTGAAACGCAGCAGCTCCTATCGCCAATTTTTACCAGAGAATAGCGTCGAATATATGAAAGAATTACAAATTGTATCTAGAAATTGTAAAATGTTAAATTAGGGTTTCCGATATTTTAACCTAGGAACAAGTCGTTCGCTCAGACAAGAGAAAAGGGACTTGAGGTAATTGTGTTATTCACACGGGCCTCAAATTCACCTCTCTGCTTTAAAATTAAACAGTCATCCTTGCATTTCATGGAAGCTATTGGGTGATACTGATAATTTTAATTGAGGTCATAGCCACGTTATGATCCTTTCCTCGGAAATTGCCGGTACACTAGTTAGTAGAAATGCAAAACATTTGCCCGATGGAAAGTTTATCTCCTCTGATCAGGAGGCTCCCATTCGATCGATATTATCTTGAAAATTACACAGCCTTTCAAGTGAGTACCCTCAATTTTCCTTGTTTTCAGATGTTTTACCGATTTTTTTCACAAAAAAAGCCTACTTATATCACCGTCAGGGCCTCGCTAACGTTGTGCTTTTGTACGGTTGATTAAAATGAATCACTTAACGATATTTAATCCGATTTTGAAGAGGGAAAAATCTTTCCTTTACTTCTAAACACCTGTTGTTTAGAAAAGGGGAACAAGTGCTTCAGCCTTGAAAATTATGGATAAATTCGAAAAAGCTTCGTAGGATGTGATTTTTCCCCCTTTTTTTCCCTTTGAACGAAGGGAAAAACAAGAACGGTGAAATCGGTAACAACAATTAGTTCGAAGCCATCAGGATGGTCTCGTTTTCAGGAAAACTTCAAAAACATACGACGGGGAATTTACGCGGCATACGCACTCGTGAAGGGGAGCGAGAATGTATAAATAGTTCAGTGGAAAAGCAAGGGTTAAGATGAGTATAATTTGCGGTAAAAGATTTACGCCCTTCATTTCGCGTTAACTCAATCTGAGTGGGGTAATCGTAGATAATGTCGACGTATTTATACGAGGAGGAACCATGTAGAAATTAATTAAAGAAAAAGTAGGTATGAAACACGCAAATTGTCTGAACACTGTTCCTTTTGATTTGACTCATTTGTATAAAGGTCCTTTCAATATATGTAGGTACTTCGATTCAAAGAATACAAAAATCAAGAACGGAAAAAAAACAAACTAGGTAACAAATCTGATTTTTGATTTAGACTTTTGAAAATTTCTAGATGCATTCTTTATATATTTGTGGATTTTTTTTTTTTTTTTTTTTTTTTTTTTTTTTTTTTTTTTTTTTTATCTATCTCAAATCAACGGCAGTGGTTGTCTCTTTGGTATTTGAAGAAAAACTTTATCAGAGAAGATTAAACGAGTTTCAGCAGTAGGGGCCGCTACTACCTATCTCTGCTTTATTTTAATCTCTCCTGAAAGTTAAACTTACAATGATGAATTTTGCAAGTTTTTTTTAAAAAAAAAACTGGACGTTGTTTTGCCATTTTTATACATCAAAATTACCTCTTTAGCTCCAGTTGAGCAATTTTGAGCCAAAAATTTTAACCTCTAGTCCAACTCTAAGATACACTCGGAGTGTCTTTTTTGCCCTCTCTTAAGGAATCTGAATATTTCATAAACTGCGGTAAAAGTTTAACTCAAGTTCATACATGGTTTTGGTGCGTCAGCATTGCAAACTTTTCATCGTCTCATATTCAAATATGTTTGCATGTGTGCTAAAAATGTCAACCTTGAATTACTGTATCAGCAAAAGTGGCTTTTAACTCAAGCGAGAAACTGTATGGAAAGCTTAACTCATAACAAAGGTTCCATTACAACTCATTTTAATTAATTGCACGGACTCCCGAAAAAAAGAGGCAACCTCTTAAGAGACTCTTTCAATTGGACCGCGTTAAACAGAAAGGAACCAAGCCACATTAGCTATTGCCAAATTTAACTGGGCAATTTAATTTTTCACATAAAAACGGTTGTGCAGATTTTCATGCAAGTTTCGGGGAATTTTCTCCCTAGTGCGAAGTGAATGCCTTAGAATTTTCGAAAGAATCCGCACAAACGTTTCCTTGTAAAAAATTAAATTACCCGGTTAAATTTGGCAATAGCTGATGTGGCTTGGTTCCTTTCTGTTTAACGCGGTCCAATTAGAGGTCAAAGGAAAACAAGCTGTGATAAAACCGGGACCGAAAGCGAAAGGTTGAATACAATTATTTTAACGCCTGCGTAGCAGCAATTGCATAACCATCGTATCGAAGGAAAACTCAGTTCTAGCTCGATTTTCGACGTATGTTCAACCCTTCGTGGATTCCGATGGTAATTAAATTTTGGCTATACTTATTTCAACAGTGGCTCTTTTTGATTATTCCTCGTTTACAGGTCTTCGGTCAACGGACGAAGGAACGTAACTCCATTCCAAGGTTGCAAAATTGACTCAATAAATTCAATTTGTTACAAAAATATACTTGTGCAATTTTCGTCCAAAATTTGGCCGATTTTTGCATGAGATCAGAGGACAAATCGGTAAAGTTTTTAGTTAGAAATGCCCAAGATTTTCCCGGTAAATATGAAATGTGCGAGGGGAAATTTGGCAACACTGAAGTGTAGTTACGTTCTCTCGAAGGAGCAACGACGGTCAGGGATGCAGAAGGTTCTTAGCATTCCCATTTTTCATATTGACCTTCCATTCTAATAACCTCTCTTTCCACAGGAATCTCAAAAAGATTACTTATTTACAGCTCTGTACGCATACTTTGCTTGCTACGATTTTGCGAAAAATCTGTCCTTTATCCCGCGATTCTACGAAAAATACGTGATTATTACCGTTTTTCTGCAAGAAAATCGCAATTTTGCCAGCTGTCCCATTTGAACCAGTCGTTTTCAAAAGGGAATATATCCATTCCTTGATGAGTCCTAGTTAGCAAGTCCTTTTATGCAACTCAAGGAGTCAAGGCTCATGCGAAAGTGGACTTGTTCCCTTTTGAAAACAACTGATTAATTTAAAAACACCGTTTTCGGGGCCTTTCCATTTTCACACGCGACCGATCGCGACCCACCCGGCCACATGGTCGAATCTTTTGCACCTCTGCGACGGATTGTCACTTTAAGTTTCTGGAACGGTTCAAATAACTTCAGAGGAAGGGCGTATTTTCTTGGGTATTTTCTCAGCTCTTAGGATCGTTTCATACTCGATTTCTAACCTAGCTTGTTTTTTTTTATGTTTCAGGTATCACAGGCCTGTTCACAGTGGTCTCCAGCTTCATGTTCAGCTCGAGTGTGATCAACTTCCTCCACGGCGACATCTCTGACCTAAAGTAAGCATCCAGCTCCTTTCACCGGGCGGTTATCTCCCATCGCTTCTACCATCTCCCATCTCTCTTCCGCTCGAAGCTCGACCCACGCCCTTGCTCCTTGCCCCCGAATTAATTTCGTACCATTTTTCTTCCCGGCTATTTCCATACTCCTTCACCGTCCTTCCATCCGGTCTTGGCTAGGTCACAAAAACTCGCCTTGCCGCGACGCAGAACCGACTGGTGGCGGATTATTTAAAAGTGATAGACAAAGCGATGGACGAAGGAAACGCAGGGAACATGGAGCGATCCTATTGGTCAGGGGCGTACTGGCCCACCGGGACACCGGGACATGCCCCGGTGCACCCTGACGCCCTACTGCTTTCAGAAAATGAAAAAAAAAAAAAATAATAATCATGCGACAATGAAGATGTGAGAGGGCGCCTTCTTGTTAAGAGAGAGCATGCTTTCTTATTTAGAGACAGGGCGCCCCTTTCCGGACAAGTGCGTAAGGGAACAAGGCAGGTTGGTGCGCCGAAGGTGATGCTGAGATCTTGTGGTACAATTTTCCTCATTTAAAACCACGTAAAGTGACTCTAATATGCGAAACCATTTTTCGTTTATTTTGTCTTCAGAATGGCTTAAAACTGCGTCTAAAAAGGTTATGTTTTTCAAAATTTTCCGGGTGAGGACCCCCGGACTCCCCACCAGACCCCCTCTTCCCGTGTGGCGGCGCCCTCAAAGTGTCTGTCCCGCGCCCCTTTAAGGGTCCCAGTACGTCCCTGCTATTGGTTGAAACGGGTGGTTGTTGTGGTGTACACTGCGGGGAAAAATAATGGACCAACTATGGGGTTTCTCGTGGGTTGCCGTTAGTTTGTCTATCACTTCGATTACATTTTGCAATAAGGAACCACTATTTCTGGCTCAATTAAGAAACGACATAAACACGATTGGGTTCCCTATGCAGATACGCGCTTTTTTGGAGGAGTTGGAGATAGTGGCCCCTTCTTGCAAAGTATAATCCACTAATACCTCTACTGTTCATTCCAACTACCTGCTTCCACCATTGGGAACGCTTTATTACCCTTTTTTCTTCTGTGTCCATCGCTTTGTCTACATAAGAATATCAATAATTAGCCCACTGCAGCCCGATTATTGAATGTATGTCCATACGAGGAGACAAGACATAACTCCATCTGAAGATTATAAGCCCTATACTAAGATTAAAAAACCAGACTCATCTTTCCATGGTGGCTTTTTCACAAAGACAAAGTGTAAAAGGGTGCTGTTCACTTCATACCATCGAAATGTATTACCAATAAGATAGTTTCAAAATCTGTTTCCTTCTTTTAATTTCCATCTCCTAACTTTTTTCCTCCCCTTCTGAAGAACTACCTAATTTTGGACTTTTTCCCTGAAGTATGGAGATTTCTACTTGTGTTGCTCTTTTTTACGTCCATTAATTCCAAGAGAATAATTATTACTTGTCCTGTACCTGTACTCTCTTTAATACGTTTTAGCAGGCTCCTATACCGCCGTGCTAAGGAAGAACGCCGTATGAACATTCGAGAGTTGTCAAATTTCCTTGGATAAAATGTTTATTTTTGAGGAAAATTATGAATATTTTTTCTTGAAATTATCCGACACTTTAGATCAAGTTTTAAACAAAATTCTCTGAGAAATTGGCGGGAAAATATTCCAAAATTTTCCTGAAAATTAGCGATTTACCAGAGGAAATTTGGCAACGCCTGTAGGCTCAGACGGCGTTTTTCCTTCGCACAGCAATATACTCAAATGTGAAGGCCAATTTTAACAACAACAAAAATTGTCTGTTTAGGTTTTTTTTTTTTTTTTTTTTTTTTTTTTTTTTTTTGTCACACAGACATTTTGACACTTTAAAATTTTGTAAAGGGCTAATTTTTTTGAAAAAAAAATGTCAAACTTATTTTAAACCCTTGCGAGAGAGATACCTTCTTTTCTCTCGAGGTTTCATTAAAATAATTAAACCTCAGAAAGAGCAACACTGGAAAATAGAGCATCACGGACATTAGAAACCTACTTTTGTATGTCCTGAATGCTCTTTTTTTCAGTATAATTTTTTGAGGTTTAATTTTTTCGATGAAGCTTCAAGGGAGAGGAAGGAGTTCATTTCGCAAAGATTTGAAATTGAAAAACCTAACCCAATACGGGGTTTTAAAATCTTGAAATTCAATGTCATTCTGCTTTTTTTTCCAGGGACGCCCTTTTCTTTTTCTTACTTTTGATCGATCTATCAAAAGCCACCACCTTAGCTCAACTTGCACTAAGCTCCTCTAATCGAGAAGAGGTTAAGCAAAATATTGCACGTGGTGTTTCTCTTCTGGGCCCAACGATTACGCTGGATACTCTGGTTGAAACTCTAGTCATTAGTGTTGGAACTTTATCAGGTATGCAAAATTTTTTTGAACAGAATCGTCGGAATCAATCAATTCCGTTGAAGTGAAAACTCAGCAAATAAATTGAAAAAGGAAAATAAAGTCCCTCATATTTCACTCCCATTGATAAATCAGGCCAGGCTAGACGCAGACTTAAAGGCTGGCTAAGTTTCATGTTGGACTTAGCATGTCTAGGCAGAACTTGTAACTAATTTTGTCTTACCCAACAATTGATCATTAAGGGCAAGACACTCTTTCACCAATATGATGGTCTTTTTATTCGTCACATTGCATTGCATCAAATATTGAAAAATTAATTACAACTTGGGATGAAAGGTATGTATAATCGTATATACCAGGACGAGGTAAAAAATTCTGATTATTCAGATTGAATGACATAAACAACCAAAGAAACCAGTCATAGAAGCAGTAAATTTAAAACTGAAGACAATAGGATGTGAACTGTTGACACTAAATCAAATCAAATCTATGGAACGTATGAAAATAACACAAGTTATTCCTTTGCAATAATTTTAGATAATTTGTAAAAATAAATTATTCGGTAGATGAAAGTCAATAATCTTTCACCATTCTTTCTCAGAAAATTAGCAAATTTGAAGGTGTAAAACTTATTCATCTACGTAAATGTGTCATGAAAGGTCCACTCAGGTACCCAGGAAATAGGAATTCCGAATTAGCCAAGTAGTAGTCATGTTCACTTAATATGTGCCTTAATTCAGATAAGTGCAGATCCTATTGGAGCATTTAAAAAAAATGAATAAATAATACATTTATGCAAGATGCATTTTCTAACTTTATTTTTGTTATATTTTTGCAATACAGGAGTCAGAAGGCTAGAAGTTCTGTGTTGTTTTGCCTGCCTGTCAGTAGTTGTACACTATGCCGTATTCATGACGTTTTATCCTGCTGTTTTGTCTTTAATATTGGAGGTATGTTATTTGAAGCTTATATGAAACACAACATTTCTGTAATATCTCATTTGATATCGTACATTTTACCTATCTTCAATTTTGATTCCATTTTGAAGGTATCTCATCAATTGTTTGAATCCATTTTCTTGAAAAAAAAAAAAAAAAACTATTCGAAAGATTGTGCTAAAACGGCTTTGACTGTTTTTGGAATTTCTGACTTAGGTCGATGTCTTTTTTGCCACCGTGGAAATTGAAACTAAAAATTTGAGTTTCATGAAAAAAATGAATCATTGCAAAAATTTAGTTTAAGGGATGGCTCTGAATAGCTCGAAGTTAGAAAATCAAGAGTTACTACAAGTAACAAACATTTTTTCACCAAATTTAGTTTTGGACAGAAAACATTAGGGTCAACACCGAAAAAAAAAAACATTTGCTTTATACCATGTTTCAGAGTGGCAAGCTGTATATTTGGAGAGTCTCGACCAATGATTTTAGTTTTTTAAGCTAGTCTCTACAAAACCAATAATTTCATACTTGTCATCCTTCTTAATTTCAACTCTTAATATTTCATTTTTCTCTTTTATCAGTTACTGAGATGCGGTCCTGGAAGCAGAATACCTAGTTCTGAGAAATCATTGTTAATGAAAGCCTTACACTTGGAAGATCAGAAACAAAACCCAGTTGTTCAACGAGTGAAAGTTATCATGTCAGCTGGCTTGGTTGTTGTTCATGCGCATAGGTGAGAAAATTTCAGGAACCTGATAAGTTCTAGTTCAGCTTTAAAACAATTTAAGACTCTAATCCTGAGCATCAGTCTATGTTAGGGCATTTTTTTTGCTAGGAATATATGCGTTTATTTATTCATAGTTTTCCCCTCAAAACAGAGTGCTATTGTTAGGTGCGAAGTGGACAACAGTGAAGCAATAACAACCTAAAATAGCTCCTGGAGAGTGTAAAAATACCGAAAGCAGTGTTCGTTGCAGAGATGTAACTGATAAGATCCATTGTTGCTTCTTTTATAATATTCCTCACCTCTGCAACGGAGATTATTCTGAAAATGAATATCTTTTTGTTCCGCCTTTTCTGAGGTCATGAGTGCTGCAACCATAATGATCGCATGTAGGTACACAATCTTCATTTTCAAACGCTAGGTTCTCTCAGTATTTCTGAATTCAACTCATCGTCACGTAACACCTAAGTCAAAAAATATTTAAGGTGTTGAGAATTAAAAGTAGTGTTTTACCAACAAATTTCGTGCGAAGTCAAGATTACCCGAGATCGTTTCATCTGTTTTATTTGCAATGGAATTTATACATTTTCCAAAATACCATTTATAAATATTAAAGTTTTGAATTAAAGTGAAAGTGAGAGGAAGACTCAGTGTTACAATTCCAAGTGAACTATATTTTGTGTTTTAACTTCTGCTGACCAAGCTATCATGATTGGTTAAACAACTTTAACAATTTAATTTACTATCCTCCAATGGTCTACCCTTTCTTTTCAGTCGTTGGTCATTGCAAGATGTAAACAGTGAGACTGATGCGGAAAAAATCATGGGAAGTATAAACAACAGTACTGACCCCTTGGATGCAGTTCTATCACAAGAGCATCTCATGAAGTAAGTTTTATTACAACTTCTTGATTTTTTCTTCTCCTCCTCTTTCTTCTTAGTGAAGAACTGTAATTTTATCAATCTCCTGCCTGGAACTACTTTTGAGAAGATGAATGTCTATAATAAAGAAGTCCTTCACATCTAATTCGCGACTAATTGAATCGGTCATTTACAAAAGGGCTCAAGCGCCTCTTTGTTTTTTTCTTTGTACTCTGCTCAAATCACACGAAAATTTTTGAAACAGCTAAATTCAAACCTCAAATTTATTGCTTTCTTTACACATGAGCATTGCTCTGAACTCAAAGATTCAAAACGGGTCTGATTAGACTTTTTTTTACAGTTTTTCTCGAATTCTCATTTTGGCGCTTGAGCCCTTTTGTAACCGATTTAATTGTCACAATAATTTGATGACTGAAATAGCCTTTCTCGGTTATGACTCTTTGATAAAAATTATTCCTATTGTGAATATTTGTTAGTATGGTCTTTAGTTTCATCAAAATAGGACATTTGTTTAGTTCTTCCAACATCTGACTGAAAATAGCCTCAAATTACTAAATTTATTTGATTTTATTATCTTATCAATTTATTCAATTTTAACTCGAGCTGCTTCCTGAACAGCTTCTTTGGATCTCTTATGTTGCATTTTATTTTCTATAATCGAATCACTACTCGTCAAAAATTTTGAGCCATGCAAGCTCACATTGACTCCACATTTTTCATAAATATGAATAAATTCAAAAACCGAGAAATTCCGCTAATCTGTCACACGAATGAATGGAGTAAAGAAAAAATTCGCATGAAGGTTTCAAATTTTCCAAGGAAACTCCTAGGTCTGTAGGTGACATTTTGCTAACCTGCAAAACTGCTGAAGAAAAAATTTGGAAAAGATTATGGGGGGAATCAGTGGATGACATATTTCTCATGCTGTTTTGTTGGTTCACTACAAATTAAGCATGTTAGGATCCAACATTCTATAGTTTTAATTTATCTCCTTATTTTTTGTTTCAGATGGTTGCTCCCTAGCATTGACAGTATTCTAATTCTCATACTCATCCTTGCCTTGACAATCAAATTCAATTTTCAGGATAGTGATCCCATGACCACAGAATCTTCTCTTTCAGGTATGATAATTTTAATTCTATTCTTTGAAGAATATTTACTGTTACCTTCTTCAGTCAAAAATTTACCGTAAGAGAGCTTTCAATGGTGAAACTGCTGAAGAGTGCAACATTGCAGACTTCCTGCCATGCTTGATTTTGTAAATAGAAAAATACCGCATGTCATTTCTTGAAAACTTCACTGAATTTTTTGCTCTGAGTAAAAAATATTTTGTTAAAATTTCAAGCAATAGGGTTAGTTTGTTGTCTTTGGATGAAATGAAAGGAGAGCATGGATTTCAAACCACTGCAAACAAAATATGTGTTACTGCAGTTTTACTGTAAATTACCATCCCTAGACGGTGATTTATCAATTTATTATTCTCATTATTCTCCTTCTAGAGAAGAAATTGTACTTACTTTATCCTTGAATTTGTAAACGAAAAAGCAGGGCTGCAGAAACTTCTTATCCTTCCCGTTTTCCGAATCGACCCTCCCAATATAAAAGCGCATTTTTCCCAAAAATTTCCAAGCTATTAACTTTTTTTATCCTATATTTGCATACTGGCAGAATTTTTAAAAAAATCGCAAATTTCACCACAATTTTACAGAAAACACGTCAATTTCATTATGATTCTTTGCATAATACACGATTTTTACGATTTGCAAGCTGGCCTTCCCAATTTTCACTACTTTCCCATTTTTTTTTTGCGAGTGACCACGTTATCATAATTCTTTCATAGTTTGATTTGGAATCTGCACACTTTCGAAAAAGCTAAAGCTCAATTTTAGCAACAGAGAACGTATTTCTCTGTAGAATCCAAAATTTGTGTTGACTTTTGCAGAGCTTTATACCTATGTATCATATATCAAAATACAACTTGAAAGACTTTCCATACTTTTCCCCTCATTCATTTGTTGAAAATTGATCAGGGTTCAGTTCAGTTCGATCTCTCCTTTTCCTGGTTTTTCAACCCTCTCTTGATTCTTATTGAGTATGTATTTTCTATTTCCCTTCTTTTTACCTTTGTTACAAACCCCTGAGTCAATCTAATCCTTTTTCGTGATTTCCAAATTGCAGCACCACTTAGCACAATGTCTCTAGATGCGGCACTCATAAATAAATTCACACCAAGTTTACTGGGAAGTGAATATGCCAGTTCCACAGATTGGATAGAAGTCACCTCAGACGAGACAGATCCCAAGTCAGAACTTTCAGACTCAGCTGTTAGGGAGTTTTTAGAACTACATCTCAGCGAAAAAAGCAGTCAGACGGATTATTGTATGAAAGATAGCATTGGAGTTGTTGAACTTGCCAATAAAATTGTGCAGACGGGTACAAACGATTACAGTGATGTCGCAGAATGTCCTACACGGTCAATTGAAGAATGCAAGGCAATCTACCGAGGAACGGTAAGTAAAATGAAGAAATTTAGTCCTTATCAAGTTTCCAACACTCACCTTTTCAAATATTTTGATTTTTGCCTGTATTTCGGACGAAGAAAAACTTTGCATGCCTAATAATATTTCACAGCCATATTATTATATTACTTCAGGATTACTGGAGGTCTGCAAAACCTTGAAAGTTAGAGACTTTTCAGCAGCCTTGAAAAGTCAGAAAATTCCTAGGAAGTGAAGGAATATAAAAGCAGCACTTGGCAGAGGCCACTGTAATTTACAGAAAAATAATCTAAGTGGAAGTTTTGTTCGAAAGTCAGGAAATTAGAAAAAATCAGCGAAAAGCTATTAAGTCACCCTCACTTTTGTTTGCTTTCTAGAATGGGTTTGACGTTTCGAACAACAAACTTTGTCAGAAAATATCTCAAATTATTTCTTTTTAACCATCTTGTTTATCCTCAGTTATCAGGGAATTTTACCAAAATATAACAGAGAATTTCATTTTCTAAATTCTGTGGTAACCCTAACAATCGTATTTTTGTAATAATGTAAAGTTAAATACTTTCCAACCTGAAACTTTTAATTTTATAATTTCCTTAATATGTGTATTTTTTCTCTTTTCTTGCCGCGAAAACAAAAGGCATCTGCCAGTGAATTGAGCGATACAGAGGTCTGCAACCTGGTAAATGAAGGAGTGATCCCAGCGTACCAAATCGAAAAAGCTGTCAAGGATCCTGAACGAGGTGTTGGTATCAGGAGGCAAAGCCTTGCCCTCTCGACCAAAAGACCAGATCTATTTCAAGACTTACCGTACAAAAATTATGATTACAGCAAAGTAAGTTCATTGTTTTCCTATGGGTGTTTACCACTGATTAATTATTTTCAGACCAAGAGCTGGTCGAACTTCATCCCCAGCCAGTTTGAACTTAGTAAGTCGCAATCATACAAGTGTCAATTACAGAATCAATTTGCAAAAATCTAAGATCGCTTTGTATTTTTCAAAAAAGACACAAGTATCCTTGTTGTAAATTTTTTCCCTTTTTTACCCAAGAGAAAAATTCGTATGAGAAAACCAAAACATATATCTGTATCAAACAAATTGCATTTCTCAGTAAACTATAATATTCATTTATAATGGTTACTCGATACTTTCAAAAATTCAAGACACTGCTGGAAAAAGAAGACATACGCGTTTGTCCCCTCGCATTTTTTGCAATTTCAGGAACTTGTGTTCACATTCTCGTTTAAAGGTTGTGACTATTTCAGATTCTAACTTATTTTACTTTGGAATTGACCTTAGGTTGCGCGATTTCATCACTTGCGTGTCTGTAGAAACAAAGTAAACTTTCAAATGCAATTTACTGAAAGCTAGGTTTTTGCCTATGTCCCCTTTTTCGGGCAATGCATTCAATTTTTGTAGCACGAATTGTGTTTTTCATGAAATTTTGGTGAGGGAGCGTATATCATAATGCTGAAATTTGCACTGTATCCAGTGGTCCATCAACCATACTCATTACTCATAGTATTAATAGTATGACAAATATTTTATGAATTTCTCTCTTGTTTGTAGGTTCTTGGCGCCTGCTGTGAAAACATTGTTGGTGTCATGCCAGTACCTGTGGGCATAGCTGGTCCTCTTTTACTGGATGGAGAAATGGTCTACGTTCCTCTGGCAACGACAGAAGGATGCTTGGTTGCAAGCACAAACCGTGGTAGTCGGGCTCTAGCCCAGTGTGGAGTTCGTAGCAGAGTCGTTGCAGATGGTATGACCAGAGGCCCTGTAGTACGTTTTCCTTCCATCACGAAAGCAAGGTTAGTCAGTAGCAAGAACTTCAATGAATACAACAAGATTCAGAAGTTTGTACATGCTCAGTTTAAATGCAGGGTTTTTATTAGAATTGTGATTTGCGTTCTAAACTGTCAGAGAAAACTGGAAACCTATCAGCGTACTCATCAAAAAGTAAAATTTTAAAAAATCGACTGCTTCAATTGTGTTTCTTTTTCTTCTTATTTTTTTTGACAAGTGGAAACTATGCTTCAGTAAAAAAAATGGTTAGTTACCTCTTATGAAAACTCTGATTTTCTTATCAAACTTTTTAAAAGTTTCCTTTAACTTTTATCAAAACGAATGATGAGTATAAAAAAAATATGCAAAGCTGTTAAATAATAGAGGGTTTGTCAGTTTTATTCTCATAGAGATACAATCTGCAGACGTGTACTTCAAAACAAATGATCTGATCTCAGACGGAAGAAAGTGAACTGAGGATCTTTAATATTTTAGAAACTTCCCTTTGAAATGCAATAGGTTATTTTATAACATCACTATTTGTCTACACTCAAGCCCAACTTGTGTTTCCTTTTTCACGAAAGACCTAGATCCAAAAAGTGTGTGTCAATCTGAAAAAGATGAGTTGATTCAAAATTTTGATTCATGTCATCAATGCCATCCATCTCACCAAGTGTTCCTTTATTTTACAGTGAAGCTATGTCATGGATGATGGATCCAATAAATTTCGAAGGGATGAAAGCCAGTTTCAACTCCAGCAGCCGTTTTGCCCGTCTCACTAAAATACATGTCCGAATCGCTGGAAGATATTTGTTTATCAGATTTGTTGCAACAACCGGTGATGCCATGGGAATGAACATGCTATCAAAGGGCACGGAATTCTCACTTAAATTTGTAAAACAACAGTTTCCAGAGATGGAAATTCTCAGCCTCAGCGGTAACTTTTGCTCTGACAAAAAACCTGCTGCTGTCAATTGGTAATTACCAATATTTTCTAATTTCCATTCTAGTATTCGACCATCCTCAAGAAAAGAGACTTTACTCAGCAGAGAAAATTAAATTGTATTATTGTATTAAAGTCTAAAATCTATTACTCTAAAAACTATTATGTGGGTGGCATTTTATGTGTATTTTTATTTTATTTTATTTTTTTTGTGTGTGTGCATTTCGAAAGTGTAACATTGCATTTTCATCCAGCAATTTTGGGCTGTGGTAATCACAAATGAAAACTTTGAAAGCTTTTCTTCAAAACTTCCTCTTTTCAAACTGCAAACTTCAACCCTCACTGAAGTGTTGGACAAATATTCCTCTTGACAGAGATCAATTTTTACTTTTTCAGCATTAAGGTCCTTTCTCTTGAAGATGGTAATATGAGTAGATTAGCCTGAAGTTTTTTTTTTTTACTGGTGTGTCGATTTGTGCTACCTTCAGCACGTATGATTCTCAGTTAAATTCTAAGTCAATGGATTGATCAGCTCAAAAGTTTCCATTAGAAACTACAAGGAAAAGGTTCAACTACACATGAACTTAAGCGAAAATTGATTCGTAAGCTTCTGGCAATATGTTTCCTCCAAAATTAACTCTTGAATCTTTTACAGAAGGTAATTTGAAAATTTCTCAGCTTGTTAAGATTGTTCTTTTCTGGATTCTAGGATTGAGGGTCGAGGAAAATCAGTTGTCTGTGAAGCCATTGTACCAGGATCTGTCGTCACTTCGGTTCTGAAAACGTCTGTGCATGCTCTGGTCGATGTTAATGTTAGCAAAAACTTAATTGGCTCTGCTATTGCTGGCAGTATTGGTGGGTTCAATGCTCATGCGGCCAATATAGTGACAGCTATATTCATCGCCACAGGCCAGGTAAATTTTCAGATGATTTTTGATGAGAACTTCTGCTTAAAGATGAAACCTATTCTTTGAATTTGATTTGAACTTTTTGAGCACACTATTGGTAGCAAAGAGTAGTTCTTTTTTCTTAAAAAGTTTGTTTAGTATGGGAACAAAGATATACATTTATATTTTTCAAGAAAGGGGTTCTAAAACTGTAGTCATTAGCTCATTGCTGCAAAATTTTTAATTTTACCCAGAAAATGCAGGATTGCTAAATGCGTCAAGAAAGGCAGGAGAAATTAGAATGTCACATTTACTCTTCCTCACCAAATTCTTGAGAGCATACATATTTGAGAAAGTATCCCAACCACAACTGCACTCAGCAATTTTGCAGAGTAGGAATTATTGGATTAAATTGACTTCAATAACAGTGATGATTTCGAAAATTTCATTTCAAACACTTTTTTTCCCTTTTAAAAAAATACTTGCAAAGTAGGAAGGTTTTACCAAATGATCTCCTTAAAGTCTCAAAATTTAAACAAAGCTCATAGCAAACATGAAGCATCAGCTATGTAGCACCTAAATATTTTTTTACAATCATGTATGCCTAAAATTGCAAGCCATTTTTTTTTATTTTTCTTCAATAAAGCCATTTACGTTTGGTTCTGAAACTTTTCCTTTAGCTGTCACTCACAAAGTCAATAAAATCATTTCAATCGTAGTGTTATGGCTGAATGTCTCTGTTTTTGCAGGATCCTGCGCAGAATGTATCAAGTAGTAACTGTATGACTTTGATGGAACCTTGGGGAGAAGGTGGTCAAGACTTGTATGTGTCCTGCACAATGCCATCCATTGAAATTGGAACCATCGGCGGTGGCACCGTCCTCTCACCACAAGCTGCCTGTTTACAGCTTCTAAAAGTAAAAGGCAAGTACCCATACATAATTTACTTTTCACATCATGATTCTAAATTTTTGGACTGTGTGTCAAATTCACTTACTCTATAATCAGGCCCTCTAGAGTTATGATTTTGGTTTAGAAAAGTGGCCATGAACCGTTAAAGCGCCATGAGTGAGGCATGAACCATCGACTGTTGATAGTTTTCCATTTGAAGCTACAGTAAAGAATCGATTATTAAGTCGTTTGTTGCTAACACACCCTGATAATTGATCCTATTAAGTCGTTTGTTGCTAACACACCCTGATAATTGATCCTATTCCTTAGGTTTAAATGGCAGATTAATCAATTCATTGCAAACCATGCCGGCCATGTCACTAAATTGCCACACTGTTCCACTGTTGAAATTTAATTTAAATGTGCATTTTAAAGTTTCCTTCTGGATAATTGTGTCCAAAATTTATTTTAAAACGAATCCTAAGTTGTTTCAGACACAACACAGAAAAAAGTTCAAAATTCGTTTGATTCGAAGTCAAATCTCGTTTGGTTGAGAATTTATCGACTTTTAGATTTTCTTGATGTTTCAAAATTTTATCCAGTGCAAGTGCAAATTAACACAAAAATTCTTGTCTCAAGAGACAAAGTTCTGAAATAAAGTATTGACAGGAAACTCTCAAACCACGTATCTTGTGTGCAGTGTTTAAAATCACCGCTCTATTTTTTTTTAAAGGAGAACAAATCAACATCATTCCTGGAAGTTGTTTCAGAACTTGTCTCGCACTGGAAAGAAGATTCATGAAAGTTTTAAGAATTGGCGTTGAGTTGTTCTCCATGTAAAAAATGAAGTATGACGAAATGTCTACATTGTCGCAAACCGACATACATGGTTTTGGAGTTACACTGTCGATATGCTGATGAGCCTCTCACATGTTTCCATCCCTTTTTCGATCAATTTTGAAAATTTGTTTGTTTTAACCTCTAAATTTTCCTCATTTCGAACAGGTCCAAACCTAGAAAATCCTGGTGAAAATGCCAGTCGTTTAGCTAGAGTTGTTTGTGGCACAGTCCTGGCAGGAGAGCTATCCCTCATGTCCGCTCTGGCATCCGGACATCTCGTTCAAAGTCATCTTACGCACAATAGATCATCTGCTTCACTGAATAGCCCTTCAAGGAATGAAGCAGTTTGTAAAACTCTGTCAACGCTGAGGATAGACAACACAGTTAACGAGGCAAGGATGTCGTGACACTCAGCATAAAGGGTCACCTTCCTCTCTGAAACTACAAAATGACTGACAATCGTGCCCAAAATAAATGGATAGTTTGACCCTTATTGTGCGTGCATTTTCTGTCGCCCATGTAATGGCTGTATCAAACTAGCATTCTGTTACCTATGTAAAAATGTATGACATGTGCCGGGCAAAACTTTTTAGATTATGTTGTCGCAAAAGAAGAAAATGTGTGTTTTCAGAAATCTTATTAAGGTAACATACATAGTATACTTGTTGTGCTACATATTAAAATATGTACAACTTATCATGTTTATTAAAACAACATGATAGCAATGCTGTTAGCCTTAAAACTGCATACAAAAAAACTTTTACCAAAACTAGCTTTATGAAACGGAAGCATTGAGTATTACTGCTGAGTTATCACCAGTATGTGTACAATTTGTACGAATACACAACGTGCCATTCAAATTTTTTGGAATATGCTGTCAATATGACGAAAAAGGCATGCATAAAAGGGTCTCTAGATTTAAGAAAAAAACCAAAAGAGCAAAGATTTTTCAAGCAGGGAATATGCTTGCAGAGGAAATGTAACAGGATAAATTTCTCCTGCATTCCCTTGTGGTAGTATTATGATCTTAATTGCTTCAGATTATGATCGTCTGCAATATTGATCTGCAATAAGTGTTTTTACTTAATTCTGTAGTATTAGGGCATTTCATCTTTTTTGCAGCTTTTCATCCGTCTTTGTTAAAAACTCTCAAAAGTGCAAAGGATCAAATCTCCCTTCTTTTTGTTTGTAAAAATGAACCAAAATAAGTTAAACAAAACAGAAATAGCCAAACTTGAAAACTTAGACTTTCCTCACTTATTTCTTCATCATTTCTTTTGGAGGACCCGCGACTGTCGTGTTATTACTGCTAAAGAGGAAGGATAATAGACTCCCCAAAACTACGCACAGATCAAGAAATAAGTCAGGAAAGTTTTGAGTTTTGAAATTCAGTGATTTCATTTTTTTTACTCAATTTGGTACTTTCTTTGTTTTCAGCATTCCTTAACAATTATTTAAAAACGTGTTGTTTTTAAAATCTTAAATCAGTGGAAGCTCTTTAAAAATCTAAGTATCTTGATGACGTGATTTCACCCTGTGTTGTGTAATTTTTTCCACTGATAAATGTGTAGTAATACCTGCTTAGATTTTTTGATGTATCACGTACATCCTCAACACTTCTGTACCTCTTTTAATGCAATGGATGTGCTGTAGTTTAGAAGCTAAAGCAACTCCACCCCAAACATGACAACGCATTCTTCATGAGTGGTGGACCACTGTAGGACATAACTAGAAATGATAAGGTAGAAACCCTTTACGGTCTATTTCCATGTAAGATTTAATGAATAGTTTAATTTTAATGAATTAATGAAAAATTGCCGTACAAATCGCATTGCTGAGGCAAAGAGGTAAGAACAGCTTGGGCCACATCGCATCTATTTTGACTCACAGTAGTCCAGCACTTACGAAATATCTGCGTTGTTTTGTCATTAGAGTCTTCATAGTCATATGCATACCGTCTGATAATTCAGATTTAAATTACCCTCATCAATGAATCTCATTAAGTAATAAGCTCCTCAGTGACAATTGAAATGATTAATTTATTCAATCTTAACTGTAAGAAGTTACCTTTTTTTTTCATCATCATCATTGAAACTTGTCAGAAAAACTGACGACCAACCTATCTAATTTCAGGAATAAATAGTTTTCTTTATTGTTATTGTTCAAGGTACATTTTATTTATTTCATTTATTTATTATACATTTTTCATGATCTTAATTTTATACAAATTACTTAGATAGAGTTCAAAAATGCAAGAATTATTTATGTTTTGACCGACTATTGATGGTCTCAAGTAATTCATTATCACCTAGGGCCGCACTTATCCACTGACACTTTGCTCTTAAATTAAATGATTCTTGCTTTTGATAGTGTATTATTGCAACTTTCCGTAGAAGGTCAGTGGTCCAGTCAGACCACCAATAATGTTACGCATGAAATATTCTGATTTGATGAAACGGAAAATAAAAAGAAATTGAAATACTATTATCAGTGCATTCATTTTTGACACAGCTTCAATTTGCTTCATTCCTCTCTATTGTCTCGCTGTGTAAACTCATTTAATAAAATTAAGGTAACTTGGAGTGGAACGACCAAATTGAGGAATTATGAATTCAACAATTTATTGACCTTGTTACCTATACTATCGAAATGGATTGCAATCTCTGAAAAAAGCGTCTTTAAGCTTTTGCTTAGGCCTAGAACCAGTAAAACCCTGTAAAAGGATGCAAGTGTTGCCCCCTCCCCCCCCCCATTAAACTTTTTCCAATCCTTGAAATGCTGGAATGGTGTGAGGGCATTACTGCAATGCCCTCTCTACACTGTATTTTAATGTAAATATGTACAAGTGCTTACCCTTCAATTTGGAATCTAAAATTTCCTAGAAATAGGTATTTTTCATATTTTGATTGGTTCTCTTTACTTTTTAGACTGTCTTACTTTGATACGTTGTGCTTAAGTATAGCCTGTGATCATCGACTTCACCCAAGGACGTAAATCATAAGTGTTACTGTATAGGTAATGTTAAATATTTTTAAGAATCGATTTGACTTTAAAAAATTACACTTCACGTTTCTAATTTTTGGTTCGTTCATTTTTTATAAATTCATGTCCTCAAATCAAATTTCTATTTTCATCTCAAAGGAAAAGAAAAATGATTTTTTTTTCTCTTTGTTTATTTGGCTCAAACCTCTTAGGAGTCTCAAGCCATCTCGACACTGGCAGTTGTGACAGAAAGCATTGAAAAGAATATGCGTGGTGTCGCCTTCTGGCCATTTATATATTTGAAAGACCCTGCCCCTACATTATTTCTCCTCTAGTGTAAAAGTTTTTTGTTTTTAGAAAACACTTAGATTCGCCTAAAGATGACTGATGACCCAAGGGTTTAGTAATTAGTTTAGCAAACTGAACCTATTTTGCAAAAAGTTTGCAAAAACTCACCACGGAAACTCTTTTATTTGAAATTCATCACTCAGCATTGTTCCAATAAAAGCTCAGCAATTTGCTCAACAACCATCAACAGACAAAAAATAGCTTCTGCTATCAACTCATTACAAAACTTTGATGGAGAGGGTGAGATCTTTTTGGTAAATTATCTCTTATTAAGACTGGTTCAGAAAAAAATATTGAGTTATCGTAATACAATAAATGAACTCACTTAAAATTTATTCAAGTGGTTCAAAATTAAAGGGCACTTGAACAAATTGCCTGTCACATTGCATTCTGATACTTATACGGAACTAGCTGCAACAAAGCAAAACATTTTTTTGTCTCCAGTTGTACTTGATTTTTTTTCCTTTCTTTTTTTTCAAGTTTTTCACAAAATTTCGACTTTTCTTGTGATATTTTTCACTCAGGATGGGGACAAATAAATAAAAAACCATTGGCAGGCAATGTGTTGAGAGTAGGTACTACATGTATAAGATTGATCAAATAAAAACCAAAGAGGCTTGAACATAAATCAAACATTTAATATTTGAAAATTATAAAAGAGAAGATGTCCATAAAGATTATAAACTAAAATTAACAGACAAGAAATATATTTTTTGAATTAGGTACCTTGTAATGTTGATAAAATACGTAATTATGCGTAACGAAGGAATTGTAAATTGAAGAAAAATTAATTAGGCCGAACGAAATGGCAAGTCACGGCTAATTTAATTTATGTTAACGTATGCATTGGCCAGATAATTGTAAACATTCACTGTGTGCGCAGAATTTCAAGTTTTAACTTCACAATAAAATGGGAGTTAGTTTTCGAGAAAAATCCAAGGTTTGACAAGTACACAGATAGACTACAAAAAAGAACATAATGGAAAGCAGAAAAACTGACAGTTCTAAACCATCATTAGAGGCGCCCCTAGCACATTGTCTTAGAGGTACCGTGAAGAGATATTCCCATGAAAAAAATGCCTCTCTACGTCTAGTAATTTTTAATTCATTGCACTGATAATAGGTGTACTTTTCACATGTTGAATACAAACTATTAATGATCGATTGAATACTGATTAGTAATTGACAAGACCTATCAATACTTTAACCTTCTAGTAACAGTTTCCAATTAAAAAAGTGCAATGGAAATATTGTAAGAAGCTTGCAAATTAATGCAATAAAGTTGCGACTTAACCATGAAATTGCAATATTGTTACATGATTTGATCAATAAAAATGCCAACTTTAGACGATCAGTAAAATAAGCTCCATGTATTGGGAAGACAGATATTTTGCAGTTCAGAGAAATACGGCAACTTATTTCAATAAGACCTTGTCTCCACTGGACGTTTTCATGGATTCGTCCCAAGTTGGAAAAGGACGAAACTTCTGGGATTTTTCCTAGTTATTGTTTCTACAGGATGGAGCTTGTACCATCCTGCGAAAAGATGGTGCAGAAAGATGAGAAAGTAAAAAGTGAGTATTTAACCAGGATTAAAATAATAATTGGACACGATTGACAATTAGACACATTATTTTGACTAAGGAAACACGAACAATGGAATAACTAACAATATATCGAGCAATTCCCTTCCACTTCTTCTTCCTTTTTCAGTTGGTCTTAGGGGCACAAGGACTGTACTTGGTACTGTGTAAAGTAACTTCGTAAAAGGGCTATTTCCGGGGGACAAATCCCATGAAACAGCAAGTGAAGACAAGACCTGAGCCGCGTCTTTTCGATCAATATACAGGCAACATACACAACGCTCCGGTGTAGTAGCAATAATTTTATCTTGCAATCGCAATTTATTCCAATCTGTGCTACTTGGGTTGCAATTGGATTCCCACCAAATAAAGCAATTAAAGTCTATCCGAAGGATAAGTGAATCAGTGTAAATAAAAATGCTCTAACTCCGAAAAATGAAAATGTTTAAGAGACACAAAAAACCGCACAGTAGTTGAAGAGGTTGGTCTGAGAGAAAGCCTTTTGGTAATGGTGGAAAATTACTTTTGGATACTTCAAAGGCCCAGGTTGACATAAATGCGCCATTTTCAATGGTTTTGATGAAAATTGAGCAGCTTTAATGAAATTTGAGCGGTTCGAGTTGGCGCGTTTTCATTCTCACAGATTCAAGTGCGACTACACATCCTCCGGCATTACATAAATTGTAGGAAAAACACTTCAGTTTATCACACTTGGAATTTATTCCATTAAAGTAAATGGAAGGAGAGGATATTATTTTTCAAATAGACTTTGCTATGCTTTAAATTCTGATTGAGCCCTTTGAAGCATGGCAGTGAAAGGAATAATTACTAGCTATTATTAACCAGTTCATGATAATCCCTTGAAAATTCGAGGCTGCCAATTGGAAAAAGGACCATAGTCTGCAGTAGAGAAGAACCGTTTAGGTACTTAAAGAAAACCGAGGGATTTGATGCAGGGTAATTTTTTTTATGATTTGATACAATGAATGATAACAGTAGCGCTGCGTCTGCACACACATGGCAACAGTCTTAACATCACCATAAGAAAACGAAGGTAAGAATGCCAACAAAATCACTTTCCAGCCTGCTCTTCTTGACATTGGCACAAAAAAGTTCGAATTATAAACGCTCATTTTTCTGAAGGATGCCAAGAACCTCAAATAAAATAATAACAAAATTTAGCTATCACCTAATTCTTTGGTCTCACATGCAAGGTCTTTTTTAAGGAGAGGGATGTTAATAAAGCTGGGTGAAAAGTTTAGTTTGTAAGCCAAAATGTTGTCAAATACCTCAATTTGGAGTTTTCCAGTACTAAGTAAGGTCCCCCTCCCCTTCCCATTAGGCTCCCTCATAGGTCCCTTTTCCGAGAGATGATCACACATGATGTTTCGCACTATAATTTTTCATCTGGCTGGGTTTTTGGAGAGACTATATTGCTCTCCAATCTTCTCAGAATTTTGTAGGCATCTGTGTAGAGCCTTGCTTAAATAGAAGTGGCAGTGCAACTAAGTAAAAAAAACATTGAAATTTCAAAGATCATGAGAAGAAAGGGAAACCTTCGCTTCACCCTAAATTCTATATTAAAGGAAGAAATCAATATGAACAAGAAACATTTTGACGGTGAAACTGCAGGGACGCTAATCATGTTTGTGGTGATTCGAAGTCTCCGCTTCCATTATACTTCATCAAAGGAGGACAAACTTGTGCTATTGCTTGAAATTTTTATAGATTATTCTTTACACAGAGAAGAAATATCAGAGAAGAAATGCGCGTTCCTGCAGTAATGACAACATTGAAAAGTAGTATGTGATGCATAAATGTTGAGAAGATTCAGTATCTATGATTAAAAACTAGTTATTATCGATATAATCAGGGTTTTTCTATTACATATAATCTTTGGAATGATTCGACACTGTACATTGCTTCAAGTCCAACTCGGTGAACTCATTAAATGATATTGATAAGTCCAGCTTTCACCGTCATGATTTTTACATTGGGAGAATACTTTTTAGGTATGAGTAGAGAATCAATCGATGGGAAAATCTATAGCTTTTTTCTGACTCACACTGAATTTCACAAACATCAAAGAGCTTTTGCTTCATATTTCTTTTTAAAAAAAACTGGAGGACACAAAGAGAAAATTAGATTCCCGCAAAACAGTGATTTTGTGCCATGAAATTGTGAATTCAATACATACAGTATCCTACTATCTGATAAACAAGCCTTTCTGATTCTGGGTCTCTCGTAATTTACAACAAAAAAAAGTCATCACTTTTTTGGTAGGCAACTGAGCCCCGATGTAGTATTTCTTGGAGGGCTTGGAAGATTATTGACCTCTGCTGAGTTGTGTATAAATTTAGACATCATTTTCTACTCAATTTTTGCTGAGTTCAGAGAGCTGGATCCGATTCCCATTGCCTGTTATATATTATGTGCGTACAGAAAATAAATGTTTGACCTTGCGATAACTTTATTGCAACAGAGATCTTGTGTACAATGAATAGGCCGATAAAAATAATTCTGTTTTTGATACTGATATTTTTACTTTCTAAAAGGAAATTATTAGTATACTGAAATTGAGGAGATCAACAGATAGTACCAACTTTCTCATCAAAATCAGTCGCTTACTATTTAAGGTGATTCGATGGATGCCATATTTTGTGTCAGAATGGCATGCGATATATCGCATCAATTGGCTCCATTTTTTCAGCAGCTTGTTATTTTTCTCGAATTTTGAGATCGCAATCCTGTTGTCAGGAGACTAGAGCACTCACTCCCCAATTTTAACAAAGAAATTCAACGTAATAAAAGCGTGGTTTTTTCAGAGAGAAAACATCGCATTCGATACTGATATCGAAACTGCACTCGAATGCGATATTTACTCTCTAAAAAAACCACGCCTTTATTACGTTAAATTTCTTTGTTAAAATTGGTAAAAGAGTGCTTTAGTCTCCTGACAACAGAATAGCGATCTCAAAATTCGAGAAAAATGATGATTAGCTAAAAAATGGAGTCAATTGATGCGATATATCGCATGCCGTTCTGAGACAAAATATGGCGTCCATCGAATCACCTTAAGCTCACCATAACAAAACAATTACACAACATGAATAAAAATGTTGGGATGTTATGCTTGTTCTCATTAAAAAGAAATTATTAAAATAATACACCATGATTGATATATCATGTTCCCTTCTGCTGACTCATGATAAAAATTCAATTTAAAAATTTAATGCTTAGTGCAGGTTGGTCTTCTTCACAGTATTAAAAGAAAACGATCAAATTTTTAGATGATATTGTGCTTCCAATGATTTAACAAAAATTATTGAAATTTGATTTTGAATTAATAACAACGAACAAAAATAAAATGGATCAATAATACAGAATTCTGTTTCCACTTGCAAGTGGATTTTGAGCTATTTTTTCTTGGTGTAAATAATTGCAGAAATCTTTTGCTTAGTTGATACCGATAAATTCTGCAGAGAAAAGAGAACTCACAAGATATTCAAAAGGCATCCCTGATGGAGCACGTTTGTGGGAAAATTGATGAAATAAAACAGGGTCAAACTTGTATCCAATGAGCGTTGCTATCACATCACACAAGAGAAGTTTGTATTTGTGAGCAAGGTTTGGGAATATTCGTCAGCAAGTATTTTCATTATCTATAAATCGCCTTAGAAATTTCTCTGGCAAACCCATTTCTTTCAAACTATCTAAGGACAAAGATTTCAAGCTGGGTACAGCTTCCACTAAAATCTCAAGACACAATTCAGACAATGGAGGTATACAGACCCATGCACTGTACACATCATTGATGCGTTCCTCCTCCCGTCTTGACCTGATTCTGGACTTTATTCCTCCGAAGGTTATCATTTTACCACTAGGAGTGATGGCCGAGTCGTGAAAATGTAGACCGAACGTTAACGAACATAATGGTAAGCAGTGCCAGTGTCTACTTTTAATGTTGAACATCCATGTATCCTGATGCTGCTCAAGGCCATGGTTTCCTCCACAAATGATAATAAGGTTAGGTTGACTCGGTACCTGGACTAGACTGTGACTTTTCCTCCTTTCCGGATACCCTTTCTTGCATGGAAATGTTGTAATGGTCCTCCATTCTCTTTTGTTAGGATTGAACACAGGAATTTTCTGAAACAAAAATATTGTTATACTTCTGTCCCAATGATAGGAATTCAACATTTGGGAGAGCCGCACTTCATTAATTTGATAAATTATCCATACTAGAGTCAATACACCCTTAATGGATTACTTAATATCTTACTGTCTCCTTTATCTTGAATAAAAATCCCACTAACAAAAGCAGATAAGATAAAAACATATTCTCATTCCTAAACTTAATTTCTTGAACATCGTTTTGCTTAGAACTCCCGACAGAGAATTTTTCCATATGAAGAATTTCAATTTCAAAATTGGTAGATTGTAAATTTTCAACAAACACTCACAGTTACAAAAAAATGTTTTCAAAGAACGACGGATAATATGGCCATAGCGCTAGCATGACATGAAAATCTTGCTGTTCATTTTTCTCTCATTCTGTAGGAATATTCTAAGGGGCATATTTACTTATAATCTGAATTAGGTGCCTACTGTTTTTGGATCTAAGTAAAGAATGGTGCACTCAGAAGAGAGAGAAACAAGCAAAACCCTTAGAACCAAATGATGAGGAAAAGGGTTCTGGCGAGTTTTAGTGCCGCAAGCAAGGCAGAATAGAGAAAGGAAAGAGCATTGCATGTCATCTAAAACTATGCTTCTGTGTTACGTCTGGAGCTGGAATATGGAAGTTTTCTGGCAGAAAGTCAAATAAAATGAGGTTGGGCTCAAACTTCTAGGCTCCTAAATACTGACTTACTTGGTAAAACTCTGTGAGAACTAAAAAAACTTTAATAGAAGTAAGTAGCTCGTTGTAAGTCAAGATAAGATTTTGACTCTGATAGGCCTAAAACAGTTTGTTACATTCGAATCTGAGTTGGGAAAAAATTAATCGGAAATTATTTGGTCAGTCAGCAACGTTCGATCAATCATCAATTACACTAAACGATTGCGGTGGACGTACGGGTCGTAAGACAATGTGTCTCAACATACAATTAATTTTTTTCTGAGAATGTAATGCATGTTACCTTTAAATCAAATGCTGAATCATTCACACCTCCTCCAAACATGTAGATTTCTCCTTTGTAAAGGGCTAGTTCATGCCGGTAGCGAGCATCTGGAGCAGACTGAGGGTTCTGCACTTTCAAATGCTCCCACACTTGAGTTCCTAGGTCTAGTCGATATATTTCATTGCTGAAAATGTAGCCACTGGTTCCACCAACAGTGTAGAGGTAATTCTGGTCCAATAGAACTCCCTGTCCATACAATGGTTCTGGTAGGTCACCAGTTGTTGGGACAACTTGAAATGATAGCTCCTCATCTTTTTGGGCAAGATTACATACATACAAGTCCCTACTACATTCTTCGCCGAAGGGGGCTCCCGTTCCTCCAAAAACGAACAGCACAGTGCCACTAAGAACCACAGAGCTAGATGCCAAAATCCTGGGAATGTTTTGAACTGGCAACTTCTTCCATCGATGAGTGAGGATATTGTACCTCCACAACTCTCTGAAAAGCGGTCGATCCGGAGTCCATTCAGGGTGAACGTTTGTTCCTATATTGGGGTTATAACCTCCAAACGAGTAAAGATACTTATCATCACAGGCCACTCGATGACCACTGCGCGGTAGGGGGGCACACTCTGAATCCCAACTATGCTGAGAATAAGAAAGTATTTTCACACCAATTTCTTCACTTAAACTCTTGGTATCAGTTTCTGGCATTACGGAGTTGCAGTTGACAGTACTATAGCTTCTATCAAAAACAGAGCCCATAGGCAGTTACAGCGTTGAGGGTGAATAACTGGATTCACCAGAAAAATGTTAATTTAGAGACTGAGAAAAAAATTAGAAATCCATTTCCAGAATGAGCAAGTATGTACTCAGCAACCTACTTTCGTTCACACACTTACAGACATTATTTCTTCATGGAGTTGCTCACTAGAGACTACTTCCACCGATCACTGATGTCTACACTTATAGATTTTATCACAAAAAATTCACATTTCTGTGGAAAATTACTGATGCATGAGGAGAAAAAAAAGCAAATTTCGATTTGGCTTCGTATTACATACGCATACGCAAAGAAATGTTTTAACCTCAAAAGCAAAACAAAATCAAAACAAAACAACACAAGCATGCAGTACCGAACGTACTCGCTTGGAGCGCTCAAATCGTCTGAGGCTGCCCAATCATAAAGTACAGGGACGCCATAGCGCGAAATATAAAATTGGAATTATAAGTTGTGTTGTAGAGCAATCCATTTGATCACGTGGGTGAGAAAACCTTATTTCAGATAAGTTTATTCTCTCAGTCGGCTCGCCAGCAGCAGCAGCAAGCAAATGAAATAAGAAAACTCGTTTAAAAGAATTTCTCGTTGACTTCTTTACCCTACATACATACTACGATAAATGGCACATTACCATGAACTTTTATTGAGTACGGAGTGAGAATTATATGCCAGTGTTTTGAGTCACAAAATAATGCAAAATAAAGAATCAGAAAATCCTCTCATGCTGAAAACATTAATTTTATACTCACAACGCACCTCAATAAATTCATGGGATGATAACGATTGCCTCTTTCTTCTTAAAATGGAATGTACAAGAAATTTTTAAGTCTGCAAATTAAGCCGTATATTTTCTCAAAGCTTCAGATACTTTTTTGCTGGAGCCTCATGGTATATTGATAGTATATTAATACGTACTAATATTAATTATTGTGGTATTTTGAAATGACTTGCTTTGTCTCTTTATGATAAATTAACAACAAAAAAAGTGTAATATTCCCACAGGATATTTTCAAACAGCAAAGAAAAATCATGAATGATAAGTCATGATCTTCATTTGTCTCTCAAAATAATTATGAGTGAAACAGTCTGCAAAGACTGCTTTTGAGAGGATCCTTACACTCAGAGGACCTAAAGATTGTTCAATGTTCATTCATCTTTTATGGACGAAGTTTGACTTTATTTTTTTCAACCCAGTTTGCTCACAGTTTATTTCTGTAGGATAAATTTCTGATTTAGTGACCTAAATTAGTACTGGATTAGTGACTATTATTAGCTTGACCCTTTTCCTGAACATCAGTGCAACCAAATGTGTAGAGAAGACAATGATGATTCTGATCTACTTAAAAGGATGGCATATAACTTAAGAATAGACATAACTTAGAGTATGTTTTTAGTGATTGTTTTCGTTCACGCCTCCAAAAACTGAAAAANAAAAAAAAAAAAAAAAAAAAAAAAAAAAAAAAAAAAAAAAAAAAAATAAGTATAGTTCTTGTGAGAAAGTCAAAAGAAATTGTTGAGAACAGGAAATAAGTCTAAAAAAGACGCTTGTATTAGGAAAAAACTGTTTTTATTTCCTTTTAAAAAAAGTAAAACAAGGAGTGTTCTGAAACAAATCGTCAATCAAGAAAGTACAACAAGACTTTGAAGTCTTGTTTTAGACATAATTAAATCTTAAAAACTTAAGTATGACTGTGGTGAACTCCTTGTTTGGAGAAATTTTAGCCTAAAAGAAAAGCTCAATTGGTGAGGAGATATATTCTATTCATGACGGTGGAATACACACCATTAAAAAGTTGTAAAATAAGTACATACTTCACCACCGAAAAAGAAGTATCAAAATCAAATTGTGCCTATGCGAATGATGAAATTGGGAGAGAACCCTTCTGTATCACTCTCGTCGCACAGTTGAAAAGATATCTTCACCAAAGAACTATAAAAGATAGGATATTAGGTAAAATATCACAGATGCAACACATGAAACAGGATTCAATCAGCATTGAAAAACAAATAATCTATATGTAGCTACACCATCCGAAAGAAGAGAGAGAACCGATGAACGGCTCGCTATTAGAGGAAAATTTGAGTTGAGAGACATGATTAAAAACAGTTCCATTGATTGGGCTAAACTGTACAATTTAGGCGACATACATAGAACAAAAATATCAACAAAATCAATTTAAGTTCATAGGTCTAACATTCCATACATTTGAGTTGATAGTCATGATTCAATCAATAACGGAGGCTCCTTTCATAAATTTCAAAGATGTATTAATTATGATGGAAAAGAGATATGAAATATGCAGGAAAAACTACTGACATAATATACAGTTTAAGCCTTTTTTCTTGACTTAATCTTTTTTCCAAGAGTTTCTGTGGAACTGATAGAGGATTATGGAATGGTTTTAAAATTCAAGCTTAGGCTAAGTTGATCATCCAATGAACACTAGTAGAGCAATCACCATTCCCAGTATTCCATTGGAAATTCATTAAAAACATGATGTCAATTTACATGTACATATGAAGAGAAAGTCTGTTGTTCAATTAAACGCATGTCGGCCTAAAAATTTACTTGATTTTTAAAGTACTCAATTTGTGCTCAAACAATTATTTTCGCTCCCTTAAAAATTGATTACAGTGTAGGTAAAAACGAAACATAATAATATAACTTGTTCTACTTACAACTAAGTGAAACTGTTTCAGACATTGAGCAACATAGATACTATATTTTAGTGTCGAGTTCATTACAATGAAAATGAAAACATTTCTTTTAAGTCAGTTATTTTGTTGGACCAGCTTTTTGTTGGTCGTATTTTGTACTTGAATTTTGCAATTTTGCATTCAACTTTGTTGCAATGTATATTCATTGCATTGCCAAACAGTAAACACGCTATTTGCAGGTTTACCATTGAGCTAATCAAGAGATTCACATTACGGACCAACCCAAAAAGTGGTGCTACTGTTACAATGGTTTCCAGTAATTTCCACACATCTAACTTCACTTTTTAAAGTATGTTTTTTTAGTCAGGAATACATACACAAAAGATTCCTTGGAGGAAAATATCGATGGTGTAATTGCAAAAACGTATGTCTCGTAAGCGGTGTCTCAAAATCCTCAATTAATTCTATTTAATTTTATCGCAGGAGAACAAACCACCACTAATGCTTAAAATTTTCACAGAATATTTTCCATATAGGTATAGAAACAAACTCAGGAAAGTTTTAAAAAAAATGACACTGCTCATTTTGCCATTTAAAAATAAATTATGAGAGAAAATCTGCAGCATTGCAAACTGAGATACGCAGTTTTGCAGTTTCATCGTTGATATGATGACCAAAATTTCTTAAACTTAGCTTGTATATCTTTTCTAGATGGATAATTTTCGGACCATCTCTCTCATTAAAAACTGGGCTGAAATTCCTGGTTTTAGAGGTGCAAGAAATTCTAATTATATTAGAGCAACCAATTCTGTTTTGGATGCAGAGTGAGCAAGTAAAAAATGATGCACTCAACTTAACTTGTTCGCAACACATATCATCTTCAGTGCTACTAACAGCTCCTTGCTGTCGAAATCACAAATGCTGAGATAAAAATACTTGTCCACCCAAAATAAGATACCCAGGAGGAACAGCGATGGCAGCGACAAAATCTTCCAGAAAGAATGATGATAGTTTCACCTCCGGTAACGATATCTTTTGAAATGGAACCATAGCTGGAAAATATTATTCTGGAACTGACAGCGGAATCCCCGTTTGTATGAGTACTCCCATTCCCGATTTACAATTTTGAAAGCGATGTCTTCATATGGAGGTCCAGCATGGAATCGTAGGATGGCAAAATCATGATTGTCAGGACAAGGCGTCTGTTCAAACAAAAATAAAGGACAATTACTTACCAATATGTTTAGATATCATTGCACATGGATTCATAATTAAACTGTATTTAATCATACGTACAACATTATTCATTCTTTCATTCCTTAAAGAATCCAAGAGAAAAAATAGAAAAAGGTTAAACACTGCCTTGTAAAATTGCAACTCTGTTTTTTTATATTAATTTGCTCTCTCAGTGGATCAATAATGTTAAGCACTTATTTTGCTTATCCAGCAAAAACTCAGTTTCCAAAGAAATTTTTTGTTTGTTTCCAGACAGCATCTTACTTCAAAATGAGACAAAACACAGAAAATATCAGTCTTGCGACGTGAATTGTGGAAAAACAAAAGCTGTTACCTATTAAATTTTAAATGATTGTATTATATCTAACATCGTCCCTCTTCTGACGTGAGGGCGTAACTCCAATAGAGATGAAACCTATTGTCCTTATAAATCCATGTTTTCTACGGCTCAGGTGGAAATTGAGATACATTATTATGTCAGAGTAGCGATGGCGTGAAATACCTATATGATGGCTAAATTATATTATTAGCTATATATATTATTCCATATTAGAAAATGTGCACTTACCAAAAAGTATTCAGGAGTTGATGACTTATCTATCAGATCAGGGTAGAAAATGTTGAATTTATAGCCTTGAACAATTTTAGGAGGCGGATTATCCATATCGTAATGAGTTTGATTATATTTATTCCACTCAAATCCAGTGTGCACCCTGCAAGGAAAAGATAAATTATTTTTAAAATCTCAGTCTATCATTTACAACAGCTGCGTTTGTGTGAGAGTTAGGGAAAGGTACTTGCTGAGAAGAAATTCAATTTGAAAAGAAGTTGTACGAATAATTACGAAGATTACATCCACATCTTTTGCTCTAACAAAATCTCAAAAATCTGACAAGTCTTTTTTGCTTTTCTTTTTAAATGCTGGATGCTTTTTGAAGCAGCCGTTTTAGAGACAGTCACTACAAGTGAAGCTAAGCGGTGGCTGATTAATATGGTAATATGTTGCTTCATGCAGAACCCTTGAACTGTGGTATGATATTATTTTCATTTTGAACCTTTTATTTTATGTCCTCTATCCTCCAGTTTTGTCAAGTTTTATGGTGGATATTTTTGTGTCCTTTTAAATAAACAAAATATATTATAATAGCCTTGAAACAAGTTTTTGCTCTTGAACACTTTAGTCCAGCAAATTCATGCCAAATCAGTTTGAACGCATTCGAACGGGAGATCTGCCATCCTCAGTTTAGCAATAATCAAGCCGGGAGATCTTTGGCCTAACTCTATGAGTATTAAAACTTAATGAACAAGAACTCTACCAGGGCACACAGAAACCACTCAGACCCAACACTGTAGTCTCCTCTTGTCAAATAATAATTCTAGTGCGTATGCAATATTTTGAAGATAAAAGACAGTTAGTCCAGGCAAACAAGGAAAAGAGCCTGCAAAAATCCCGGGTAGCAATGTTTTCATCGATTCCTATGTAATTTTTGACGCTGAATCCGAATTTCAACTTTGCGCCATTAAATTTGGACCGGAAAGTTGCCAAATTTGGCAAAAATGGCCTAAAATCGGACTTTTTCCCGGATTATTGCCTGTAGCTTGCCAAAAATTGATCTGACGATAAAATTAGTTATTTTCAGAAATAAAGCTCGTTAAATTTCCTATAAAAAAGTTCCTATAAACTTTTTTGCTCAAGGCAAAATCAAGCGCGCTGGCGGGCTCCGAACTTTGTAAAATGTGCGAAAATTGCGCATACTGTAATGTGTTGGGTTATCCTTATTATTTACATCAATTAATTTCACTAGGTGTAAATTTTATCATCTTCACTTAATTTTTCCAGAAATTACTCGTCGGACGATTAAAACAGGAGACATCGGGCAAAAACCGCAAAAAACACAATTTTTGCTCATTTTACTAAAACATTGCTACCAGGGATTTTTGCAGGCTATAGCCCTTTTCATGGCTTATTTGCCTGGACTAAGTACAAACCTGTTGAAGTATCTAGGTTTCCTGGGACGGTATTTGTCTGACCAAAAGTAAACCTGGTTTTCGAGTATGGACTCAACAGAGAATTCAACCTCATCGTCTGTCATGCCTTTCCTTGCTTCACGATGCAGTGCTTTTTCCTCTGCAGTGATAACATTCTGTCAAAAAATAATGCAAAGTCACATGATAAGAATAATTTGTTTTCTCCCATCAAACAGGAAATGTAAAAAACAGAGCTAAATAAACATTTTAACACGCTAAACTTTAGTTACAGATGTTTTACTTATGAAACATGTACACTTGATCACAGAAACCTGTTGACATCACTGGGGACATTAGAATGTTGCTGTCGTATTGTTTCTGTGCACTACATTTATCAATAAAATTTCTTCTTTTTCAGTAAAAATCTTCCTCTGCTCAACAGTCAGTATATCCAACGAACATATATTCAAATAACAACTGACACACTCTTGAATTTCAGCAGGCCCTAATGTAACCTCTCCTTTTACTCACTGGAAAAAAGTGGAAGGACTACTTGGTTCATTTTTAAATTTTTCAAATGCACGGACAGCCTTTGATTTAAACTATTAATTACAGCAGAATAAAATGCACAAGAATTTTCCAGAAAAAAGGGGGGGGGGGGGGGGAGAGAGAAAGTTTTACTTTTGTGAGTTTCCCTAAAAGAGATATGACTTCCTGTTCATTTATTGGGGCGTCTACCGCATCATCATCTAAAAATCCTTGCTTTTTCATTATCTTTTTAACTTTTTCCGTACTTCCCAAAAATTCTTCTGTACAGGGGTGCCCTAAAAGTCTAGCTTTTTCATTGCCTCTCCCTCACTTTCTCCTTACCTGACACTCATTTTAACCTTTAACAAACACATTTTCAAGGATTGAACTAAACTAAACATATAATCTAGCTAAGATTATGCAGCAGAAAAAATTGCATACAGTTAGAATTCCAAAGCCCTTTCATTCATTGCAAAAATCTCTGCTTCCTGTACCTTTTCATGAAAAATCCGTGCTATTGCAGAATGTAAATACTTTTTCCGTACAACCCAGTTTTGGGAAACAGGGTGATTATCCCTTTTCCCTAACATTTGTCCCCTGAAACAATTTTGCTTACAATAATATTAACAGGAGACAGCTGGATTACCTCTACTTTAGCTCCTAGTCCTTGAACTCTACGCCTTGCGAATTCAAGCCGTTGCAAATCCTCTGTTACCAGGGTGATGATTGTTCCAGGTTCAAGACTGGATGGAGATACGTATTTTGGACTGTAACCTCCTGCCTCGTACTCTGCAATGCATTCGTTTATCATTGCTTCCGCCAATTTTGCTTCATCCATCCTGGATAAAAAAAAATATAGATAAGTAGGAAACGAAAATACATAAATAATGCATACAACATCGCTAGTAAAATTAGATATGAAAAGTGAACATTTATAAAGGAAGAACGTTGTTGTCAAATTTCAGTAATCAATCCTTAGTAATTGGAGGATTTGAGAATTGGCTTGTTCCTCTAATAATTGGTGCTCCTGATATGGTTTTTTCTTGTATAAATAATACACGTTTAAGGCTTCCTTCCTTACTTTTTGTATGAGTTTGTATACTGGTAGGAAGTGGGTCTGGGACTAGTTGAACTGTTTGTCGTCCTCTATCTTTAGAATTAACACATAGCTGTTCATCTGTTGATTTATTAATTTGTTTCTCTTCATGTTGCAAGTGTATCTTCAATTAATTAAGATAAATTAATAATTTGAGGGTTGTTGAATAACAAGAAAAAGATGGCCTTGCTGTGAAGCTATTGGGAAAAACGTCAGATCAAGAGAAATGGTTCTCGCTTTGGGACTTAAAACACCTCTGATTGATACACAACCAATTTCTTGATTCTTTAGATTAAACCAACATTGATGAAAAAGTAATTTCTTTTTAGGCTGTATATTCCTTGAATTTTTATCAAGTAGGTGACTCCAGAGATTAATAGTACAAAGAGCTACCCGTCGAAAATTTTCTAAAGTGTCTGATAAGGTTTGGATCTTAACTATTCATTATTGTTATCAACTAAAATACATACAAAATGTAAGAAATGAAGAAATGATGGTGAATAATAAAACATACTCTTCATTAGATGAATCATCTGTGTCTTCTTTGCCCCGAGTTTCAGTTTGCCGTTCTGGTTTTGCCGAAGAAGCAGAGGTGGACGGAGCATCTGAGATTTCTTGCTTTGGCACTGAGGAATTTTCGTCAACTCCTTGCTCTGCTTTGAGCACTTGGAGTTTTTTGAACAAATTGTTTTGATGTCGATCTCGTAGACGCGCTCTGGCTTGATGAGCTGTAATAAATGGAAAATTAAGTGTGTTACAATAATTCTGAATTTCAATTTACCTACCCAACCGCAGATAAATTTATAGATTTCCTTACTTGAATCAGGGTGTCTACTGGTACTCAGTCATTCAAATTCCTTGCTTTCTTCTTACTTTCCCTTTCCACACAAGTAATTTTAACTATATTTGGATTGGGAAAGTTGAATGATGGAATTACAGAGGGATAAATCGAAAAACACGAGAAATCGAACCAGGAAGTTGAAAAATAGATTATTTTAAGAAATCACATACCCCCTAGGCTACTTTCAAGAGTTCCTCAAATAAATCTTGAATTTCCGTATTTTTTCAACGAAAATCCGCACCTTTTCTATACTTCCGTACCGACATTCCAAAATCCGAGCTTTTTCGGTGTATCCGTACTTTTTTCGTAATGTAGACACACTGTTGAGTGGGGGAAAGCGGAAAACCCAAGACTTCTTTTCTTTTGAGAATTGAAATTTTTCTTATTTTCATGAAATCATGTAAAAACTTGTTATGTACATGTGTTCATAGTGGTTCATTTTGTAAAATGGTATTGCTATCCTAACCGGATTTGTGTTTGTTTAATGCTGCTTCCACTAATTCAGCGAGCAGAAATTGTAAAAACTGTGGACTACAAGAATATTTTTCTGCTTCAATAGCTTTATGACCATTCCACTTTTAAAAAGAGGAATAAAAACCTAGTAGATTTTTAAATTGAGAATTAAAAATTCCAGACTAAAGAATAAAGAAAAAAAAGAGTTGAATATTTTCTGTAGACTATATATTACTAGATACTGCCTTCTTTCATGTTTTTTTTGTAGAGGTGTCCATATCAAATTGCATGCGTTTGTGAAGCCCCCCCCCCCCCCAAAAAGCATTAATTAATATTACAAAAATAGGATACATATGATGGACTTAGAGAACAAGTCGCATAAGTGTAGTTTTTGAAAAAATTGAGATATTAATAATTTCAATTAAAACTAGTCTTAATGCATATTCTGTGAAAAATTTGCTCCCGAAATTCTAATTTCAAAGCATCAAAGAATCAGTTTGAACTTTTTTTTTGTCATAAGGATCCATGTAATTTCGAAACTTCAAACACATATTTCTCGAAATGGCAAAAACTACACTTATGTGCCTTGTCCTCCAAGCCCCTCATATGATTCAATTGAGAGTTAAATATTTTATTACCTTTTAATTGTGAAAGTAGAGATTCCCAATATCCTATATCTACTCCATCTGCTTTGTTCTTCAGTTTGGCTTCAATTTGTGTCTGAAGAGCCACCAATTGTTCGGCTGTCTTGCCTTTCAGTACATTTGCAACATCTTTGGCAACTGATTCATGGATTCCCTCACGCCTCGCAACGGCTGAAATTAAAGAGAGAGAGACAATTGCAATTTAGGAAAACCATCAAGCATTTCTAGGATAAACCGTAACCATAGGACAGACCATATCCCGCTGAAAACTACACCAATCAACTATGTAACAAAGAAAAGTCCTCCTCTTTTGTCACAACCCCCAACCCCTTCTTAGGAAAAATAGAGAATTAGAAACAGTTGACCAAACAGGCTTATTATTATTAATCTTTATTCTTTTACTACGAAAATTGATCTAAAGGAAAAAGTTCAAAACTTTTACATTAAAATCCCTGACATTGAATATTTTCTAATGACACTTTTCCTTCTCACTTTTTGTGAGTGAACATAACTCCAAGTGAATCTGTCCAGGGGCACACTTTGATTTCACACACTTTTGGGTGAAATTTTTTCCCCCAACTATTTGTAAGCTAATTATAATTTTTGGAACTTCTTGGCTTTGTTTTCCCCGCGAAATGGTGTGGACCGAGCACCATTTCTCCACCTTGATACTATTTGTAAGCAGACACAACTCTGAGAGAAGCTGTGTTGTGTTATGAAAAAATCAATTTATTTTTTGCACACCTGCTTGATATTCCGTTTGAGAGTCTTGTTTCCGCAGTTTGTACAGTTCATCTTCAACAATTACAGTAATGTCGTTCCAATAGTCGAGGTTCATCCCTCTTTCCAATTCTATGTATACCTGAAAAAAAGAAAAAAGAAACAGATATAATGAAATAAGATAGCACAGGAGATTTAACATGCAACAACAGACATGAGGAAGAGTAAGCAAACAGGAAATCTCTGAAAAATTTTAGAAACTGACTGTCACAGGTATTGCATTACCTGTAACCCTAGTTTCTTAGCTTCCTCATTTTTCTTAAACTTCTACCTTTTTCATTGAAATTCTAACTTGTCATTAGGGATGGCTGGATTTCGTCCACTTTTCTCTTTTTCACTTTTATCTTCCAGCCATCACCTATAAAATTAAAGACTAGACTTGCAACTGATAGCTCCACTGATTATAGCCAGCCAATAGTGTATAAACTTGCTGTCTTGCCACCCGTGACATCATCAAGTCTATAAAAGCTTGTGCTGCCCAATATTCTTGGTCTTTTCCATCTCTGACCCATGTGTGCACATGTTACGCTCTCAAGTCCTTCTAGCGTATTCTACTTAAAGTGTGACTCCTCTTGTAGTTTCATTCTAAATTCAATACAACTCTCTTTCGGCCCAACAACTCTCTTGTTCCATTACTGCTTTTCCACAGTCCTTGTTTTTTCTAGTGCCCATTATACGGATTCTTAGATGTTTCAGTCCATCTAAAACTTAACAATCCTTAAAACGTGACACTGACGATCCGAGGTAAAAAGTACCGCATGCTCTGCATTTATTTACAATTCTTAGAGAAGGGTCTTTTTCAATGAGGATCAAATCCTCAAGGATCCTGAGGATCTTCAATGAGGATCTTAGAACTCTGGCTGAAACATGAGAGATCTTTGGTGATAGTTCCAGGAATGTTCAAAGCTTAAGAGTGTCCAATGCATTTGAATTTTAACATGCATGCAAGTTCTTTAATATTTTTTTAGTAAATTTCATCAACCTGCAAACTTTTTTTATGGCCTTCTTTACCCTCACTCTCTAATTGAACTGAGAATATTTTTGAATTTATTTAAAGAGACTAAACATTACCTGCTTTAATAATAATAGGGACTAAATTTTTGATGAGCGATAAAAGAACGTACCTTAATATCAGCAACCAAATCTTCTAAATCTTTAATGGTTAAACCATTAAGGTATGTATACGGCTCGTGCATTTCAACAGCGTCAACTTCTTCTTCCGTGCTGATGTATTTGGCGAGAAGATCAATAGGTTTTGCTGAAAAATCAAGAAGTTTGATTCACTAAGAAGTATAAAAAAAAAAACATATCAAGCAAAAACAGAAAGATACCAAGTTCAAAAAATTCTTCATTTTGGTTTCTTCTCATCAATTTCTAAAATTGAGAATCTTATCTGAGCACTAAGGATTGAATATTGAATGATTTTCTTCTTAATATCATTAGTAATTTTGCTTCCTTTTGAAGTATTTGTTTTTGATTGATTAGGATTGAAAAAAAACATTGGTACACTGAACAAAAAAAATATGATAGTACGAGCCGAACGTCCAGTGTTCCATTTCAATTGAACTATTTGGATTTTCAAAACGAAAGTTCCATTCGCAGGATCTAACATTCCATTCAAAAGATAGGCCTTTATCATTTTAGTTCAAGCGAAAAGTTTAGATCTCACAAACCACACATTTGACCCTACCACCCAAATAATCGATCCTGCAATCGAAAATTTCTATTTGACAAAGCAAATAGTTTGGTCCATAATGGAACACTGCGCATTTAGCTCGTAAGACTCAATTTTTTTTTTCAGGGTACGTAAATCAATGTAGAAAGAAGAGAGAAAAATATAGGTAAGGCCTTATTTTTTAATAAATGCGGTTCTAGAGAAAAATATGATGAATCTGGAATGGAGGCAAAACAATTTTATTACTTACAAACAAGATAAATATGAGGAAATAATTTTTTATGCTATTTACCGCGGCCATCCTGGATACGAATACGCGATCGAAGACGGGCTTGCTCAAGATGAAACATGTCTTCGTGTTGCTCCCACTCCTGAAACTGAGCAGCCTCTTTACTCCGTTGCATCAAGGACATCTCCTCTTCGCGCTGCTGCTTTTCTAACTCACGTTCTATCCTACGTTTCTTCACCTAAAAAAATGAGAGAAAAAACTACGTCAGTGCCGCATATCAAAATCAGAGGAGCTAGTTAAAATTAATAGAATTGAAATAACAATTATCATGAAAAAATAGCAATATTATATACACTTACAAATGTCAAAGGTAAAACTCTACGGGTGTTCACAGCGTCTAGTTGCATTTTCAAAGGAGGGGAATTTTGTGCCAAAATATAAAGATTTCATAGAATTCTCGGAGGTATCAAAGTATGGTCGCAAGAAAATTGCACTTTTCACTTTCTTTTCTTTTTAAATTTTAAATCTTTACTTATTGAATTTATTTTCAAATTAAATGGGTCCCGAAATCCATACTTCATCAAAAATAACATTTAAAGATGAGAAGGCAACACTCTTCATCACTTTGTTTATCCATTTACTTAATAGAGTATGATTAGATTATTAGAGTTCAAGCCAAATTAGTACACACATTTATTAACTGTGACAGAAGATCCACAATCTTGATTCTTGCATTTACTTTCCGTTACGTCAGATGATCTTTTGTCACTGTCTAAAAGTGCGTAAACTTACTTGGCGTGGATTCTACTTTCTGATTATTTTGTAAGAAACTTGTTTGCGAGGCAACAGTTGGTGTTGAAACATGAAAAGTCCTATTTTGATGACTTCTTGAGTTAACGAGAATGCTTAAAAGTCAGAGTTCATCAGAAAATGGACATGATACATTTTAACATCAAACAGTTCAAGTATCTTTGCAGTTTTTATTATAACAATTTTAATTCCTAAGAGGCAGAACCTTACCTTTTCTAGTTCACGCTTATTTTCTTCCATTTTTATTTTATTCATCATTGCTACTTCTTCTTGGGAAACTCCTTTCAGCCCTTCTTTCTCCAGCTTTTTATCCCATCTAAATGTTGAAAGAAGATCATTATCCCCAAAAGGATTGTCCACATTTGTGTAGTGTAGGTAATCATTGTCCCATCCCATTTGTTGTTTCCTCTTTTTCTCTTTGGCCTCTTTCTTCAGCAGTCGTCTGATTCTCTTTTCTTTGGGGGTTTCTTGGGCCTTCTGGAGCTCTTTCAGTTTACGCCTTTCTTCCTGCTGTCTTTTCCGCTTCTCTTGCAATCTTATCAGGAGTTTCGTTTCCTTATCTGAGGCACTTGATGAAGAAGATGAGGAAGACGCAGAGGAAGAGGAGGATGTGGATGAGGAGGAGGATGAAGGACGAGATGATGACTCTGATGAGTGCCTTCGTCGAGATTTTCTATCTCGCCTGGAGCTCTTGGATTTCTTGTCCCGCTTGTGGCTTTTTGACTTCCGTGAAGACCTCCTGCAACAATCCAAACATTGCCAAAACTCAAAACACATTTTAAAGAAATATAGAGGTAATCTACTCAATACACGATGCTAGATAAAGACGTAGTAGCTGCGTTATCAAAGTAAACTGTTGGGATACATGCAGAAGTAGAAATACCACGATGCATATCAGTTAGTGTTCTTAGATTTCATGTGAAAGACCTCATAATGTATTTAAATACATAGAAAGACCCAAGCTACTAGCTTTGTCACTAAATATACAGATTTTCCACCTTCAGCGATCGATTCGTCACTTCTATGTAGTGTGACAGTAGGAGTGACATATGAACCTGCAACCTGTGCGGTTACACACAATTAATTATGGGGAGTGATTGGCGCATTATAAAATTAGAAAATTAATAATGCATCTTGACTTAGGTCAGAAATTTTAAAGAAATTTGTGGGAAAAGAGACTCTGATGAAGGTTCAAAATTTTTGAGGTTAGGTTCGAGGAATTGCATACATCCTATGAAATTCGCAGAGTTGTGTAAATAGGTTTAGCACAATCAAAAAACAGGAATGTTTTTGGCGTACTTTATGGTTGTTTTAACAATGAAGGTAAAAATTAAAAGAATACTTACGATGATGATTCATCCCTGTGTCTATTACGATGATGTGACCGTGAGCGATGCATGTTGCTGTCCTTCAAATCCGAGTCAAGCACAAGAAATATGAGACATTAAAGCATTTCAGAAACAAAACTAGAACATAAAACTAAGTTTTATAACTTTAATCTGATAAAAAAACACAGGGGAAACGTGAGATTTCCGAAGGAGATGATAAGAAAACGTAAACAAACGTTCGATCGTTCGATAGGGAGTTCGATTGTTCCGGGTTGATTTTGATTGGATAATCAAATCACCGCTTCTTTTAGCGGGAAAATTTAAATTGACGCACTTTCTGGCGGGAAAGTTTAAATTGACGCTCCCGAAAAAAAAGAGCGCTCATGACACAGGAATGTGTATTAGGGTTCAGAAAGTTATGTCAATCCCTCTCCTTTTCTCAGTTGCTATTTGATTCTTGGTGCTGTTTCAAAATCTTTTTAAAAATCTTTTTTTTTTTTTTTTTGGAAAAAAAAACCTATCTGAAATATCTCCTTGAAATGTTTCATGAACATGTTTCAATGAGTGAAGAAATAATTCACAAATTAAAAGAGTCTGTTGGCTGGTTTCCTATAGTGAAAAACTTAAAAATTTTAGAAGATTTGCTACGTCGCAGTCGGAGATTAGCATTTTTCGATTTCAGCCATCATTTTTAACATTTCGTCTTTGACATACAATAAGCAGCCCACGTTTGTCTCTTTATTCTATGCTATTGACGATTCTAAGTGATGGGAAGAAAAGGGTTCTCAGTCTCCCTGCTTTTAATAAGTTGATCAGAGCGACTAACCATCGACTGAAAATAATGTAGATTTTCTCAATTAATGTCAATTCATAATCTTTGCTTTTTTTAAAAAAAAAAAAACAAAAAAAAAACAAAAAAAGACAGAATAATACTTAAATTGATTTAAAAACGATTCTTTAAGGCTACGTTAATTCTAAAGTTCTTGGTTCACTGAAATACAGACCAAAAGCACGAATAGTAAGGGTAATATCTGCTGAAAATGAAAAAGAAAACTTACCGACAGCTTGAGTTTTTCATGTACGCATAAGTGATCGCCTATGTTCTGCACGGAGGAAAAATTGCTGAGCTAACATCACGAGATTTTAAAAATCCTGACCCTTCTCCGTGATCCTACTTTGCAATCCCTCCCAACCCCATGACCCCTCTCTTTGGAAACCTCACCCCTTAGCGAACCCTCCCCCGATCCCGTTTCCTCAGCCACCTCCTCATTCTTCTTCCTTCGTTCTTTGATCTGAAATGAGCAGGAGAAATCAAGAATATGATAATTGACAATTTGTGACAATGTTTCTGGATATCTTCTCAGTACCTAATCGTATGTCCATCAAATTTTTCACCATTATCATTCATAAATTAGACCACATCAAACAACTGGAACCAAGTCACATCGGCTATTCGCCAAATTTCATACAACAGTTTATTTTTTCACAGGAGAACGGTTGCGCACGGATTCTTTTGAAAATTTCAGGGAATTTGTTTCACGCCACAGAGAAAATCTTCTTTAGTTTTCAAAAGAATCTGTACAACCGTTCTCCCGTAAAAAAAGGAATTATTTGGTGGAATTTGACAATGACCGATTTAGCTTGATTCCTTTTTGCTTAATGTGGTCCAGTTACTCCTCGCTCATCAAAACCTTAGCCAATGTATTTTCCACCATCTTTGTGCTTTTTGAAATTGAAGAATATAACTACGCATTTTCTCAATTTCCAGGGCTTTATGAGAAGCACGTATTTTTATCGCACTGAAATTGGACGACGTTACGCCAAAAGGAAATACTTTTTTTAGCTCATCTCTACAAGGCTCTATTTGAATATTGATTGCAAGGCATTTAAGTAATTTTTGCAATGAGTCCGAGAAATTCTTTCCATTTTGCGGAATGTAGTCCAAATGCTGCTGACAACATGCAAAAGTGCCAAATTGTGTTCAGCGAGGAACGACACGTGGGACTGAAATTAATCCCTCGGACGTCGCCAAATTTCCTTTGATAAAATACGAATTTACTTTAAACCTTGCGATTACTTCTCCAATTTTTTATAAACTTTTATTCGCAATTTGATCGAAAGTATCCAAAATTTTAAAGAAAAAATATTCATAAATTACTTCACAAATAAATATTCCATAGAGAGAAATTTGGTACCGATACCGAATGTTCATACATCGTATTTCTTCAACGTGGCATTATGAACCTGTGACCCTAGCTCTTTTTGTCTTTGTCACATTATTAAAATCTCTGTGACTGATAATTAATAATTACATAAAATCAATTATCCACTCATCAACTGTGAAAAACCAGGAATCACTCAGCTCACAAGCGAGGAACACCACCCAGCCCTTGCCTTCGAAAGAGAGACCAATACTGCCGTAATTAGAAAAAACGCCGTATGAGTATTTGAATGTTGCCAGATTGCCTCTCAGAAAACATTTATCTCTGGGGAGAATTATGCATATTTTTCCTTGAAATTTTCAGAAACTTAATATCAAACCACGAGCAAAATTCTTCATAAAATTGGAGGACGGGAGTTTACAAATATTCTCAAAAATTTGAGATTTCTCAAAGGAGATTTGGCAACGCATGAAGGCTCATACGGCGGTCTTTCTTAGCACGGCGATGCACGGACAAGGAGATACGGCAATTTTTGAAGAGAGTCATGCATATTTTTCCCTGAAATTTTCAGAAACTTCAGATCAATCACGAACAAAATTCTTCGTAAAATTGGAGGACAGAAGTTTACAAATATTCTCAAAAATTCGAGATTTCTCAAAGGAGATTTGGCAACGCCTGAAGGCTCATACGGCGGTCTTTCTTAGCACGGCGATGCACGGACAAGGAGATACGGCAATTTTTGAAGAGAGTCATGCATATTTTTCCCTGAAATTTTCAGAAACTTTAGATCAATCACGAACAAAATTCTTCGTAAAATTGGAGGACAGAAGTTTACAAATATTCTCAAAAATTCGAGATTTCTCAAAGGAGATTTGGCAACGCCTGAAGGCTCATACGGTGTTCTTCCCCAGCACGGCAGAATCCCACACGAACCGATGCACGGACAAGGAGATACGGCAATTTTTTCAATAAACACATTTTTCCCGAGCAATGTCAAAGCAAGGGAGGGTGCCCTTGAGATTAGAATAGATAAAGCCCGCAGGAGGCCGTTGGGGCAGGGGCGAGGAGGAAGTAAAGTTTGGTCGGATGAATTAAACATAAACCGAATGAGTCCATGTTTGGATTGTAATATAGGTTAAGACAGAGATTTAGATTAACATTAACCTGCGCTGACCCCCGACTGATAAATGTCGGCTATCAACTGTCCGGCTCCGCGCGATGCGATGCGATGCGATGCTCCGGCCAGTCTCTCAGTTTTCTTCTTTTCTCTCCGCGTCGTTCCGGTCCACGTCCGTGACAGTTCGGTACAGTAATTTCGGTGGAAAACGGCTGTCCTCGTACGTAACGGTGCTCGTTCCCGGTGCTTGACCCTGTCCGTGACGGCCCCGAGGGTCCGAGTTGTGTCGTGTCCGTTCTGGGAGGGAAGCGAGGTCGGTCAGCTACCCTCGCGAGTTTGTTGTGTGCTGAGTGTTGTGACATCTTTGAAGTTCGTCGGTGGAGCAACGATTATTCGCACTCAAGTGGGCAGCTGGAATGGTGGGTACATGAGCGTTTCAAGTTGGACCGCGTTTAACAGAAAGGAACCAAGCCACATCAGCTATTGCCAATTTTAACCGGGCAATTTAATTTTTTACGAGAAAACGTTTGTGCGGATCCCTTTGAAAATGTTAAGAAATTTGCTTCGTACTATGGAGAAAATTCACTGAAATTTGCACGAAAATCCGCACAACTGTTTTCATGTAAAAAATTTAATTAGCCGATTAAATTTGGCAATAGCTGATGTGGCTTGGTTCCTTTCTGTTTAACGCGGTCCAGTTATTCCTTCTCTATTCGTACCGCCGCACAGTGGATCGAGCCGATCAGAGAGGTCGGACATGGAATTTACTACTAAAACTGCAATTTTTGATGGATACTTTGTAACATTTTAAATTTTAAGGGGTGCTTGGAGAAGAAAATTTCACGAGGAAATCAATAGAACTATTTCTTGAGTCTTGTTTTGTGGCGTGTTCTAATTTCCGTATAAACGGAGTTATAAACTTTTAAAGTTTCAAACGTTGTCCGACCTCTCCTACTGACTCGATCCACTGTGTGCCGTGCTAAGGAAAAACGCCGCACAGTGGATCGAATCATCTAACTCGAGGTCGGACATGATTTAAAAACTTCAGAAGCGTATATCCTCATCAACATGAAGTTTTGATGTTTTAAAAGTAATTTCAATGGTTTTCTTGTAAATTTTTCTATAAGAAGCGCTCCTAAAAATTAGTGACGTGATGAACGTAAAACTTTACAATTTCTGTGAGAAATTTCATGACGACTTCTTCCAAAGACTCGTTCCACTGTGCGCCGTATGAGTCTTCAGGCGTTGCCGAATTTCCTCTTGCAAATCACTAATTTTCAGGAAAATTTTTGAATATTTTTCTGCCTATCTCTCGGATAAATTTGATGGTAATCTGATCTGAAGTGTTCGAAAATCTCGAGGAAAAATATTCTCAATTTTTCTCAAAAATAAGCATTTTATCGAAGGAAATTTGGCAACTCTCAAATGTTCGTTTGGCGTTATTTCTTAACACGGCAGCGTATCGGACTAACAATAAGGGTAGGGATTCAGATAGCCTTCCCCCCCCCCCCCCGACACTTTGATTTATTATTAGGTAGGCTAACGTACTTAGCACCCAATTTTGGTGAATATTAATACAATTGTAAGTCATGTTTTAAGACTTTTGAAAGTTTTAACTTATATCCCCATCCCATTGCACCCCAAGCTCATACCCCCTCTCCGAAAAACTCTTGACCCCCCTCCCCTCTTTTCTGAGATTTGGTTGAAACAGTGCGTACTTATCGGGACTTAGTAAAGTTAAGATGACCTCTTAGGACATATTAGAATTGATCCGATTCACACAGATTTTCGATTTTTATGTAAGGACATTTGTCTGAAATAATGATAATTTGAAGATGCTCGGCAACTGCTGTGATGCGGGGTGGCGCGGTTTTCTAAAAATTTACGGAGGAAGTAATTTGAGTTAAAACTGGACTTAAAATTTTACTTCACTAAAATAATTTGTCTGAATGCAGAAACGCGACAACAACCGAGAATTTTCTCGGCTAAATGAGATTCCGTTCCATACAGGTGCCCGGCACTCGTAAAATAGAGAGGTTAATTATATCACAAACATTCTGGCTGATTTCTTTAGTACCCTCTTGTTGGAGAGAGACAGATGCTAATTATGATGAGTGCCATTAATCATTTTAATGAGGTCGGAAACACTTTAGATTAAGTGCAGTTTTTATGGCTCTCAGAGCAGCATTTTTTTAAGAGGGGAAATACGCGTATAAAAATATTATAATGGCAGAACTCAAAGGTAAGCAGATGTGACTGACCCTTAGACTTTCCAACATTATTAAACCAATTGATAATCCGATAGTTCCTACTCTCGATGGTCGTAAATCGCTGATGTAACATTTTTCATCAAAAACTGCACTCGGCCTGAGTTGTAACTCCTGTTCTGAAATATTAGTTCTGAAAATATTTTGAAATATTGCTGTTTATCGTGGAAAACGGAATCAAAATCAAACCGATTGATATATAAAAAACACACCATGAATCAATTATACGGAGCACATTTTAGCAAAAAGGAACCAGTGGGATTACATCGTTTTAAAAAAGTTGCTTCTTCATGATTATCTTAAAAATCTCCCAAAATAGCAAATAGTTTTTGCTTCCCACCAACAAATTGTTAATTTTAAAGGAAAATAATTGTGTAAATGTTAATTCTGTACATATTTAAGTATTTGTAAAAGGAAAAGAAGAAGTTCTACGATTTTGAAAACACTGTAATCGCGCTGGAAATAACGGGTCTAGATGCTTCGTCAAAAATTATACTTTTAAAAATAATTGCTCACTGCTTCACTGATTGATTAATATGCTAGAATTCATTGTATCAATAGACCGCGATTATTTCTATCGGCATAATTTGAGCGAAAATAAAAACGAACTTATTTTCCTATGAATTCTTGATCAATTAATTGATGTCGATCGGTTCATGTTAATCCGTCTTAATCGATTCTTTTCATTTTCTTCTTCTTACCCTTTCCTTATCTTTCTTTCATTTTCCCTCACATTATTTTCCTCTCCTCTTTCTCCTCTCATCTTCCTCCTCCTTTTTTCTCCTTCCTTTGGCTCTTTTCCTCTCCTCGTCCCACATCGCATGTTCCTACGGCAAATTCGCCAGCAGGGACCGTCTGAGTATTGTAAGGGGGATGATACCACTATTCGATCACGTGGGAGCTTGTGTTGCCTACCCTAAAAACTGAAGGCGAGCTGATGTGACGTTAAAGTAACCTCTTCCGCTTCCGGTTTGGTGAAAAGCTATTTCATTAGAGTATAATAACCATAAAATTTCACGATGATTCTACCATTCCACTTCTTTCTCATTTTCCCCCTTCTTTCCCTCTTTCTCTTTCTGTAATCTTCTTAATGATAAGAATTACAACGACCATATTATTTTTCAACAGTATATGCTACACTTACATGACAAGCAAATTACTCACACTAGAGCGTGATAGGGGAGAGGATGTAACTTGAGTTATAAACGAGTGGATTTTAATGCTCTCTAAATAAACAGGTGCGAAAAATGAAAAATTATTAAACATTTCTAAATTTTAATTCTTTAGAGCAGGCGTGGCTCAAATTGTGTCGGTATGCAGGGTGTCATAATTTCATGAAAAATGAAATATTGAAATTTCACTTGAAATTTTTCATGAAATTTCAGAACTTTATGAAAGATATTGAAAAACATCGGTTCCTTTTCATGTTCGCAAAATGTATAAACATTGATACTTTCTTCTATTTTTATGTGTGTGAGTGCGTGTTGCATACTCTAGCCCCTGAAAAATATGAAATATTTCACAGCGTCGTGACATTTCATGAAATATTTCACTGAAATTTCCAATCTTTCATTTCTTTAATACGTTTCATGCCACCCTGTCGGTACGAAACATATGAATGTTTACAAATGAGTGGTCCTGATCGGTATAAGATTGCAAGTCAACTTCAAATCTAGCGGTTTCATAATTTCCCCATATTTTCTATTTTTTTCACCGTTATTGAAGACGAATACGAATTTTACGGAAATTACAGAATACGGCACTTGTATTTTTTGCGGTTTGGAAATCCTTCCACTTATTCCTCGTTCGGCAAAGGCGAATAATATTTCAACTACATGATTTTAGTTTAAAATCGTTAAGGCCTGAAATGAAATGTAGGTAAGTAAATAAAGAGAATTTTACAGCAAACGTAACATAAACAGAATGATTACCGGTTAAAACAGAGAGGAAAACATAAACAAATAATGGGAGGTTACGCAATGTTGCACATCAACCATCTTATCAAAGTTGGATCAGCCTGTCAGAAAGAAAAGAAATTACGCCTGGTTCAAAGTATTGATTCCGAAGCGTGTTCTGTGTTCTCCCTCTTTTTAAATGCCGCCTGTTGTTTATATGATGGACTGATTCATTTTTAAGTCATTTTGGGGATTTCCCATGAGTTAGTTGACGAGGCACCTATATTTTACATTATATTGTAATACACTGACTGTCCGAAACTACATGGGTAAAAAATGCATACGAAAAGTTTTCGTATGCATTTTTGTGATCTAGTCCCTAACGTTTTCGTCGAAAACGTTAGGTATTAGATCGTAATCCAGGCAGTAACATGTGCATTTGGCATGGCAAACGGAGGATGGAGAATGCTGCCGTGCTAAGAAAGAATGCCGTATGAACCTTCAGGCGTTGCCAAATTTTCTTTGATAAAATGCACAATACCTAGTAAATTTATGAATATTTTCCACCCAATTTTTTACACCATTTAGTTCGGAATTTTACCTAAAGATTCTGAAAATATAAAGGAAAAATATCCATAACTTTCCTAAAAATTAAACATTTTATCGAAGGAAATTTGGCAACTCTCGAATGTTCATACGGCGTTTTCCCTTATCACGGCAGAATGGGAGACATCACAATCGATCACCATTTGACTGTTGCTGATTTCTCATTCTTATTCCGTGTATTTAACTGTAGTGTTGTTACACTACAATATTAGAGAAAGCAGCTATATCGATGACCATAGTGCGAAACCACGTATCTCCGTGTGTGACGTTGCAGGCTTCCAGCAGACTTAATTTTCTCTCGGAAGACTAGTCAACATATTTTTTTGACAGCTACCCTTATTTTGACTGCGTTTAGCAGAAAGGAACCAGGCCACATTGGTTGTTGTCGAATTTATTTGGGCAATTTAATTTTTCACAGGATAACGTTTATGCGTATTCCTTAGAGGAGTTTAAGGAATTTGCTTTGTGCTATGCAAAAAATTTACTGAGATTTGCACAAAAATCCGCAAAACCATTTTCATGCGAAGAAATAAATGCCCGATTAAAGTTGGCAATATCTGCGATGTGGCTTGGTTCCTTTCTGCTTAACGCGGTCCATTTTTCCTCTCTGTTAGTAGAGGATTTTGTATAGATTTCAAGATGTAAGGTTGAATTGGACGTATTTCTGTCAAACGGAACTAAGCGCCAATTTGAGTTCCTTTTGAGGAATTTAGAATGCCGGATAGTGCGTTCTGCCAAACGGAACTAAGCGCCATAGAAAAGCATTGCGAGTATAAGACGGAATGAGCCTGACGCCCGGATCCGCCGCCAATCCAAGCCATCCTCTATCTTCCTCCCCCTATGACGCTTAGTTCCGTTTGACAGAAATACGTTCAATTGCTCCTCTTCGAAAAAATAAAAAAGGAACAGAAATCCGGAGACTTCACAATGGAGAGACGTGCGGTTTCGCACTTAAGCCATTTATATGACACGAAGGGAGTATGTGGATCAGGTACGCTCATCGCTGTTTCGCCTCCAATTTTCGAGGTAGGCTAGAAGACATACGCGGCGCAGCAATGGTTATTTGCTCAAAAATTTAAATCACCTGTTGCTTACTTCTGCTTCAAAGTTTATTATGTTAAAGTTCCCCTGGCATTAATTTGGATGTTGGCTATAATATATATTATAATCCAAAATAATAATTCCCGCCCTAATTCTTCAAACTTTTTCCGTGGCAAATTTGCAGAAGAAGCCATTAATATTCTGTCGTGCTAAGGAAGAACGCCGCAAGAATTCGAGACGTGCCAAATTTTCCTTGATAATACACGCATATTCTTGACGAAATTTATACATCTTTTACCTTAAAAATTCCAGACATTTTAGATTAAATTGCGTACAAAATCGTGTAAAAATTTTGGAAGAAAACATTGACGATTTTCTGGTACACGGACTTTATGTCCACAATTCTAAAGCCCATACTATTGTTAAGTCCATTACTTAAACGTCCACTAAAATCAAATTCAAGCGTTATATTTTAGTCCATGTGTAAAATTATATTGAAAATATCGAAATGAGAAAATTAAGAGAGAATAAGGTGTTGTTATCGTAACTCATATTTTAAATGAAATGTTAATTTCTTGTTTTGATTCATCTTTTCAAATTGTCTTTTGTAAATACTTGGTCTCATTTTTATCCTTGAAATTTCCGATATAAAATATGCCTTAAATGTACCTACATTCTTATTTTTAAAATGAAATTGATTACTTCATTTTAAAAACATTTACATTTTTAATACCTGGTAAATATTTGTAAAACCTTTTCCAAACAGTGGCATCGATATGAATCTCAATGAGCCGTCGTTGTGATAAAAGAAACTATACAAAAATTAATAAAAGATTGAAAAAAACTAAGAAGCACGCAATTTTTAGTTTGTAACTTATTTGTACATCGACCTTCTTGAGTCAAATACGTCCAATTTGAGCGTTTAGTTGCGCTTACACCACGCTGCAGCACAGTAAAAGCCCAAAACATAAAAGAATAAATTTGAATGCTTTGGAAATCATTAAATTTGACACGGAACTACTCTTATATTTCCAAAAAACACATTATATTTTCCAGTAGTACATATTTCTTTTTCATCAGTTTAAAAGGGAATAATAAATGCAGAGAGTGCAAACATTTCAAAATCATGAGTTGAAAATCGCTGACTCCGCGAGTTTAAATATTAGAGCCTAACACAGAGCGGAGCGGCGTGTTAGCAGCGCAGAACGCGCACTGGCACCTACAAACCTAACGGGATACTTCACGCATTGTGCAACGCGTGAAGTATCCCGTTAGGTTTGGAGGCGCCTATGCGCGTGTCACGCTGGTTGTGCCGCAACGCTTTAAGCAACTATTTCGCGTTAGAGACGTTGCACAGTCTCCTACAAGATTGAAGGTGCACGAAATAACTAGTTAAAGAGGACATTCAATTTTGACAGCATCTGTTACTGAAAAATGTTTAATTTGGCATTGGAGCGTTTCCTAGGCTCCCGCTTCGGTTTTCATCTTATCATATCCGTACAGTGTACACATGAACATATGTTTTTATCTGCTCTTGGAGTCTGTTCTCTTTCATGACTTGATTCATGAATGAAATGTTTTTAAGAATGAAGGTAGTAGTAGTATGCATTTATTTTTGAGGTGGTTCCTGTCATTTAAATGAGAAGAGAAAAATGTGGACATAACATGTCCACAATTTGGACAATTTTGGACTTATTCATGGTTGGACATCAAATCGTGTGGACTTAATGTTTAGTGGACATAAATAGCGGTGGACATTTTTTAATGGACGAAAGGTAGGTGGACATAAAGTCCTGGAAGCGATTTTCCCAGTAAATTCTGTTTTTGTCGAAGGAAATTTTGCAACGACCGTTTGAAGGCGCATGCGTTGTTCTTCCTTAGCACCGCAGTATTCAGATCTATTCTTGTTAGAAAAAGGGGGAGAGCCTTCTACCTCATGACCAGACTCATTATTTTGAAGCAGTTTAAATAAAAAACTTATCGATTCAACGGTCGTATAATTTCTTACGAGCCGAGAAATCCTCGATTTTCAAAACACGCGCTTCGGTTTGATCGACCGAACAGAACGAGCGTTGCGCCATTTTAAGTGAAGCTGTAAGTAAGCTTTTGGTGAGTTTTCACGGTCGCACAGTGAATCGAGTCAATAGGAGAGGTCGGACTAAATTTGAAAACTTTAAACGCTTCCGTTTTTACAAAATTTTGAAGATCTAAAACGGGTTTCATTGGGTTCCTAGCAGGATTATCTCCTATAAGCACCCTCGAAATTTATAAGGTGACGGAATAAACATAAAAATTTGCCGTTTCAGTCAAAAATTTCATGTCCGACTTCTCTAATTGACTCGATTCACTGTGGGTCGTAATACAACTAACGAAACGCGCATGGGCGTCTCTTTCAATGGATGCTATTCTCGTCGGTCTAACCTGCAAGCTTCAAATAGCAACATGGCCACTTACCGGAGCTTCTAAAAATAAGGATAAAACAAACAATATTTTGATGATAAACTCACTTACTGTGGACCGGAGTGTGATAACTGGACAAACATTTTCAGACAATTACTTCTCAATTTTCCGAAATGCCGGAAGCCGTATACCTGTGCCGCTCTTTTGAGCGTGGTGTAAATAGCGTATGTTTCTTTTTAACTATAAAGTGACCCGCAAAGTTTTGTCGCGAAGTTTTGCAAATAGTGCACCGTTTATGGAAAAAAGTTTCAGTTGAGTAACCATTTTTATTTTTATGGCTAACGTTCATTTTTTTTTAAATAGGAAAATGTCACTCTTTGTCGCGCCTCTGGAAAATAATTTTTGTTTTGTTGGCACTATTGCGGAAAAAAGCTTAAACAAGTCAAATCAAAACGAAGTCATGATACTTCTGAATATTTTACGTGCAAATTTTTAGAAAAAGCATTGTGAAATTTTATTTCAACATGACTCAAAATTGTTGGATTAGAATGCAATTTCACATTTGCGATTCGCAGAAAAATTGAGCTTAACCGCTCGTAATTTACTCTTTGGGCTCTTAAACATTTTTGTCAATTTGTTTCTTGAATTTCTATTTCCTCTCATCATTTCGGTTTGTACATTATATTCTCTGTCCAGTGCCACTATGTGCGGACTTCAAACATTTTCGTGCAAAACTTCAGTTTTCTTTCCATTTTTTCAGATACGTACAGTGTGCTGCCTCAAATTGACCTAAAATGGCAGGCTGCCAGTTGACCTGCAGCTTAATGAGAAGCAGCAACTCAATGCGTTCAATTTTGGCGACAAACGTATGAACCTCGTCTAACTTCGGCGAAAACGAAGGAATCTTGTTCACCTAGAGGTTTGTTTCTTTGTTTATTTTCTTTTTAAAAATATTTGATGGTTTGCTCATTTTATCAAAAACTTTCCCCTAACCATCAAGATTGATGACGAAAGTGCGAATCCACGCATCTCCATTTACGGTGTTTCAACATTTCCGCTCCCATTTTATTTTATCGAGGGGAAACGAGCCAACTAAATAGCATGAAATTTATACAGAATATTCTACTGGCAGGGAAAGAAAATCAAAGAGGTTTTCAAGAAATAACGTCGACTAGTTTTCCAAAGGAAAAATATAATATGACCTGGAGGCGGATCCAGCAATTTGGCAACACCGGGCCCCCCATTTAAACCTATGTTACATAATCGATTCTTGTCAGAGCACCCGGCGGCCTGGCCGCTCCAAGAATCGATGCATTTCCATAGGTTTGAATGGAGAAAAACAATGTTGCCAATTTGCGCACTTTGGCCATCGACATGACTCCAAACAATAGTAATGCATCAATTGATAGCTAAAGGGTGGGAAGAGCGAATCTCCCCTAAAAAATTCCAAAATTGCTGATTATGCCTTGTTCAAAAAAAAAAAAAAAAACCAACCAAAATATCTCCTTAATGTTTCCTATGAGTTTATTCTAACCGATGATCTAATTATACTATCAGTGATAGTAAAGTGATATAGATATAAAAAAGAGGTGCCGCATGCATGTGCAAAAGTTCAAGGAGAAATATTCATAGCTTTCCTCAGAGATAAACATTTTATCGAAGAGACTTTGGCAACTCTCGAATGTTCATAGGGCGTTTTTCCTTAGCACGGCAGTATACCTTAACTAGATTTTTCTGAAAGTCTATCATTACTGATCGTCTTGCCGATTCTCACCTCCGTTGTTCGGTAAACACTCCTAACGAACGGTGAGACGAAACTAATTTCAGGCGGGCGGATTCGCAAATCAATGAGTGTATTTCGAGGAGGGAGGGGCCGGGAAATGCATATTTTGTTGTGACGAGGATGACGACGATGCATCGTGAAGGTCATTGCGAAACATCACAGCGATACAATCGCAACTCGTGGAAGGAACTACGTCGGATCGTTCGCATGGGTTTAAGGTTTAAACCCCCACCCCCTCTCCCCCTCCCCCTCATCCCCCACCCCTCCTCCGCAGCCAGCAAAGTTGCTATGCATTTCCCCGTGCCCGCGCGCGGGATGCACCGCGCAGTGGTGGTTGTTATTAATCTTCAATTTGACTTGAGTTACATTTCATTTCAATTAACTGAAAGCTTATCTCTGTGAACCTGGGGTCCGATCGTGATTACATCTGCGGCGCCACAATTCTGAAGAATCGAGGGCTTTTCATCGGGGAAAAACTTCATTCTAACCACCTAGTGCAACACACACACACACCCTCCCTCACAATCAGATACACCCTCTCTCCCTCACAATCACACACACACCCATCCTCCCTCCCTCACAATCATACACACATCCCTAATCCCTATGATCATCTGTCTAATCTTGTGCGTGTTCAGATGATAAGCGAAAAATAAATAAAAAGTTTGGGAATTATTTGCGATAAAATTTCCTTTAATCCAAAAAGTTTCAATTTATTAATCAAATCATTCTACAACGAGCTGAAGATCCACCTTAAGAATTCAATGAAGGGCTTACTTATTTTACATTAGGAAAGACGGCCGTTTGCGTTACTTGTGCGGTTACTCCTTCGGCGGGAAAAATCTGAAGTGTGAGGGTTAGATTCGGGCAGAAAAGGATGCCAACTTGAAAAAAGTAGCAGAATATACTGCTCCCTTGCGGGATAGTGTGGAGTTACTGCTTTTTTGTCGGAGATGACGTCAATTTTCGTAGACTTATTACTCTTCCAGAGCAGTGGCTTGGCGTGCTTTACGATGATTCGATCGATCTGCCGTTTAAACCCATAATAAAAGATCGATAAACAGGGTGTTCGCAACGAACACCTTGATAATCGATTCTTTACCATGGCTTCAAATGGAGAAATATCGATAATCGATCATTCACACCTCGCAACTGTTTCAGAGCTCCTAAATTTTGAAAGTAAGACGAACTTTGCTATTTTAGACAGACGCATTTCGCCTATATGCAGGTAGAGTATTGGCATGTCCGTGTCGCTTTCTGATTCGGTCACCTGTTTTAGGTCTTTCATGGAGCTTTTTAAGCTCGAAATGTAAACAAACCCAACTTAAAGGATTTTATATTTTCGCAGAAACCGCAATACGCAATAATATTGATCAGTATCTTTTAAGAGCTTACTTTAGAAGTTGGAAATAGAGAGAATTCTTATCACGTCTCAAAATCTTTAGCAATATTTTTTGTCAGCATTAGTGCGGAAGAGTCTTACGAAAAGCTTAAAATTGGTGAACTAATCAGAGTGTTGTACAGTTTTCTCACACTAAAAAATTGACATGGCAACAGTTCCCCTCTACAGGCACTCTATGGCTGACTGGCTCATCGGGGCACCAAGAAATTCCTACATGGCTGGAGGTTCCTCGACCCGCAGGGCCAGTTGCTTTGCTTTGGAAAAAAAAGGTTAGAGGAAAGAGAGAAAATCGAACAAAGGGAGAAAAAAGGGGGAAAGCGGTATAGGGGAGAACAGGGGGTGAAGAAAAAACTTCAGGGGACTGGGGCACGTGGCCAAAGGCCCAGCGAGGGTTTTTTTAAATGAATATTTGATGGAATTAAATCTCAATCCTGTAATGACGCACAAAGGCAGAGCTGAAAATCGAAATGTTCTTCACTGGAAATCGCGTAAAAGCCTCCTTTATTTCTGTAAAAACCGAAGCAAGTTCTCAGAAGCCACCCCCACTCACCCCTTGCGGGTGGACTTCTCGGTGGAAGTCAGACTACAACTGTTTAAATAAACGCGAGTCCACAGGGTTTGCTCAGAGATAAAAGAATTTGGAACCCCTACATAACAGTGGCGAGGCGTGAATGATCGATTATCGATATCTCCCTATTTGAAGCTTTAGTAAAATATCGATTATTAAGGTGTCCGTTGCGAACACTCTGTTAATCGATCCTTTTCCATAGGTTTAAATGACAGATCAATCGGATTGCATTTTGCAAAAAGGAACCACTAGCATTGCAATGCTGCTAAGATTGTGCAACTTCTTTTGTCTTGGATTCGATTATCCCTTAATAGTTTCTATTTTACTCGCTAAAAACTGTAAATTTAAGACAAACATTACCGTCTAAATTTCATAGTTTTTCAAAATTTCCGCAATTTTATTGCAAGGGATGAAGTTGCACAATCTTAGCATCATTGCAATGCTAGTGGTTCCTTTTTGCAAAATGCAATCCAATCGATATATCGCAAAGCACGCCATGCCACTGCTACATGAACGAGCTGCAGTCTTTGATCAAAGTGTACTTTTTTTGTTACAAGATCGTTTCGTATGGATCGTATTCGATACATCGAACAGGTGAGATTCTATCGATATCGGTTGGTCCAACATGTCGTCACCTCCCGGCCAAAGTATCAAAAGTGCCATGCGACGTTTCAAAATTTCCGCCGCCGTTTTATTTTTTTGCAGGGAAATTGTTGGTTGAATCTGTTTGAAGATTTGGCTGGATTTTGTCGGCAGCACAAAGAAAATTCAGTGAAATTTTCGGATAGCTTCATAGAAAAATTTTTCTGTAAAAAATTAAAATGGAGACGGAAATTTTGAAACGTTGCATGGCGCTTTTGATCCTTTGACCGGAAGGTGACGATGTAATTATAGCCTCAAAAGTTAATTGAGTAATCCCAGGGAACCGGGTTCTTGTGATAGATTTTTGATTCTTATGAGTATAAAATGGCAATGAAATGTGAAATTGTTGGGAATCTTCTTATTTACAGCTTTTTCTACTCAAGTCCTAAAATTTTTGCTAAAGGTTATGCTCTATTCTTTTGAACCAAACGATTAATCGAACCACCATCGAATACGATCTACTGTTACCGTGTAATAACTCGCAGTACAACTCCAGCTGGTCAAGAATCCTATAATGATCACACAAACTTGGCAACAATGTAGGAGCTTTTTATTGAAGACAATTATCAAACAAACAATTATAAACTTCTGTACTAACCGCATTAAGTTAGAAATTATATAGGAATCAAACTCAAAATTGCCAAAGTCTCTAGATGCATCTCAATCAGCAAGAATTATTATTATTATTAGAATTAGCATGATAGAGGTAAAGAATAATGTATTTAATAATATTTAAGTGCTGTACTAATAAAATAGCACTTAAATATATTTAAATAAATAAATATAAAACAGATTTTTAAGAGAGAGATATTGCAGAGAGAAGATTTTTATCAGTACTGCAAAATGATTGTTTGAATTCGCCTTCTGCATAGATACTAAGAGAAGACTGTATTTAATCAATATCATATGACAACCATGTTATCCGCGCTCAGCTTTTCACGTTCAGTTACGAGCGAAGGACTCAATCACGTGAAACCGAATTTAAAAAAATTCAACCAACAGACGTCCACCCACCAATTAACCATATTTCCAATAGGGTAAAGAAATTGTACACGGCGCACAAAGGAGCAAATCGATAGAAGGAGTCGGACAAAATCTGAAACTTTGAGAGCTTTTGTTCTCGAAAATATAAAACAAAAAAGTTTATAAGAATGGTTCCATTGGTTTTGTCGTGAAATTTAATTTCAGAGACACCCATTGAAATTGAAATTGTGACAAATTAAACATCAAAATTTACAATTTTTGCCAAAAATTTTCATGTCCGATCACTTCTATTAGCTCGATCCACTGTGCGGCAGCCGCGCAACGAAGCATCTTATCACGTGTGTGTTCATGATGGGTTCACTCACTCTAGTTGCTCATTTAATTTTTTGTGTTTCGGCTCTCGTGAACAAATCACGGGGCTTTAAGTGTGTGCAGAAAATTATGATGAAACGAAGTACAACAGAGGATGTTAATAAAGGAAGTCGGCAAGAAAGAAAAAATTATACTGATTAAGTCGGAAAAGTGATTGTTGGTTGGTTC